ACGAGGGTATTCGATTCCACGGCAAGACGATCAAGGACTGCCAAAAGGAGCTGCCCAAGGGAACCTCTGGCACTGAGATGCTTCCCGAGGCCATGTTCTGGCTGCTCCTGACTGGCGAGGTCCCATCAGTATCGCAGACTCGTGCGCTTTCGCGAGAGCTCGCCGAGAAGGGCGGCATCCCCAAGTTTGTCGAGAAGATGTTGGACGACTTCCCCAAGGACCTCCACCCCATGACACAATTCGCATGCGCTGTCTCAGCCCTCAACTACGAGTCCAAGTTTGCCAAAGCATACGAAAAGGGTATCAACAAGGCTGACTACTGGGAGCCTACCTTTGATGATTGCATCAGCCTGCTCGCAAAGCTGCCTACCATTGCCGCCAAGATCTACCAGAATGCATACCGCGGGGGAGGTGCGCTCCCCAACGAGATCGACCTGAACCAGGATTGGTCCTACAACTTCGCAGCCATGTTAGGCAAGCCTGGAAAGGAGAACGAGGGCTTCCAGGACCTTCTCCGGTTGTACCTTGCTCTGCACGGCGACCACGAGGGCGGTAACGTCTCAGCACACACCACACATCTCGTCGGTTCAGCGCTCAGCGATCCCTTCCTAAGCTACAGTGCCGGTCTTCAAGGTCTTGCTGGCCCGCTTCACGGCCTAGCTGCCCAGGAGGTGCTGCGCTTTATCCTCGATATGCAAAAGGTAGTTGGTGATAACTTTAGCGAAAAGGACGTCAATGACTTCCTCTGGAGCGTTCTCAAGTCTGGACGAGTCATCCCTGGTTACGGTCACGCTGTGCTTAGGAAGCCCGACCCGCGATTCGAGGCGCTCATGGACTTTGCGAATGCACGACCTGAGATTGCAGCGGACCCAGTCTACCAGCTCGTAAAGAAGAACTCGGAGGTTGCTCCTGGCGTGCTTACCGAGCACGGAAAGGTAAAAAAACCACAGCGTTGAGAACTCGCAGTGATTAACTTTGTCGTAGACCAAGAACCCCTACCCCAACGTCGATTCGTCCTCGGGCGTCCTTTTCCACCACTACGGCTTCAAGGAGACTCTGTATTACACCGCAACATTCGGTGTCAGCCGTGGTCTCGGTCCTCTTGCACAGCTCATCTGGGATAGGGCATTGGGTTTGCCCATTGAGCGCCCTAAGTCCATCAACCTCCAGGGTATCCTGAACCAGGTTGGCGCGTGAAACATCAGTGGTCACGACCTCATACGGGGTAGCCATCAAAAAGTAGTCCAAATAGAAACGATCTGAATGTCACACATCACCATCAAATATTTCGTGAGAAGATGCCAGACACAGTGCAATGCTGTCAGTCAGTCAGTGACGTGTGTTGGTGAATGAATAGAGTTGCGCAATTGGGCATGGGAGGGGCGGGAGTGGACCCATGGGATCGACGACGGCGGCGGCGGCTAGTCAGGGCAGGGCGACATGCCGGCCCCAGCACACGCCGGACGCCGAGTGAAACGGTCTCGCACCACGTCGACGGCGCTGTCTTCTGTTCCACACTCATTGTCCTACCAGATATTGTCTCCGCTCGCTCACATCTGCATCGGCAGCCTCACCGTGTCCAACTGCAGCAGCAGCAAACATATACATGCTTCAATGCTAGCTTCAATATAACCAGGGCTTCACGCTCGCGCCATAGCCTCACCTTCCCCGCTGCGTGCAACACTACATATTTCTTTTTCTCTACTGCTCCTCTTGGATTGACACGCTTCTACCGCCAGCATGGCTCCCTACGAAGCCCACGAGTTGCGTCGCGGCAAGTACGCGAAGCTCGATGCACCCGTGGACGATGACCTTGAAACCCCAACGCGATTCTCCTCCGAGTCTAACGAGACACTGGAAGATCTCGAAGAGCACGACCCTCTCGCATTCGATAGCAAGTTGAAACGAAAAAAGAGTGCCGGCGACCTCAAGGTCCGGAAGGCATCGTACCGAGACACCGAGGCCGTGACGCCATTCCCTACCCAACAACGAAGATCCAAATGCGCACCAGGCCGCTGTTGCTGCTGGCTACTCGTATTTACCGCCGCTACTGTTCTCCTACTGGCTTCGGGAGGAATTTGGGCATACAAAGTGTCGGTGCCTGAGGATGGGCGCAGTCCGCCGTGGTACCCCTCGCCAAAGGGCGGAACCGACAAGGCATGGGAGGAGAGCTACAAGAAAGCTGCTGAGCTGGTCAAGCAGATGACATTGCCCGAGAAGGTTAACATTACCACCGGTACAGGGTGGAGCATGGATCTTTGTGTGGGTCAGACTGGCCGTGTGGATAGATTAAAGTTCCCCAGTCTATGCCTTCAGGTACGCGCCATCCTAAATACAGCGCTCCACATGTGCTAACGTTTTACTCAGGACGGTCCTCTGGGCATTCGATTTGCTGACAATATTACTGGTTTCCCTGCGGGCATCACCACTGGCGCGACATGGAGCAAGGAGCTCTTCTATTTGCGCGGAAAAGCACATGGCAAGGAGGCACGACTGAAAGGTGTCAACGTTCTGCTTGGTCCTGCAATGGGCCCTCTCGGTCGAATGCCTGCTGGTGGTCGTGTTTGGGAAGGATTTGGCTCAGACCCCGTGCTACAGGGCATTGCAGCGGCCGCGACTATCAAAGGCATCCAAGACGAGGGCGTCATGGCTACCGCAAAGCACTATGTTGCCAACGAACAGGAACACTTCAGACAGGCGTGGGAGTGGGGTCTGCCGAATGCCATCTCCAGCAACATCGACGACCGCACCTTACATGAAATCTATGCATGGCCATTCGCCGACTCGGTCAAAGCAGGTGTAACATCTATCATGTGTTCATACAATCAGGTAAACGCCAGCTATGCCTGCCAGAATTCGAAGCTGCTCAACGGAATTTTGAAAGACGAGCTTGGTTTCCAGGGGTTCGTTCAGAGCGACTGGTTAGCGCAACGTTCTGGTGTAGCGAGCGCCCTGGCGGGTTTGGACATGACAATGCCTGGAGATGGCCTCAGATGGGCCAAGGGTAACAGTCTATGGGGTGCAGAGCTCACCAAGTCAGTTCTCAACGGCAGTGTACCCATTGATCGCGTCGACGACATGGTCACTCGTGTCGTGGCGTCATGGTACCAAGTTGGTCAGGACAAGTGGGAAAATGATGGGCCGAACTTTTCTTCCTGGACCAATGACCGTATCGGTAAGCTGCATGAAGGCAGCCCCTCGAATCACGAAATGGGTGTGGTAAATCAGTACGTCAACGCTCAAGGAGAGGGAAAGGAAACTCACGGACACTTGGTGCGTCGTGTTGCAGCTGAAGGTACAGTCTTGGTCAAGAATGATGGCAAGATGCTGCCTCTAAACCGCAAAGGTTGGAAGACCGATGGAAAGGCCAAGACAAAGTTCCGTGTGGGTGTTTTTGGTGAAGATGCACGTCTCCCTCACGACGGCATCAACCACTGCCCTGATCAAAGCTGCAACGAAGGGACCTTGGCTTCAGGTTGGGGTTCCGGTGCCGTCAACTTTTCGTATCTGGTCGAGCCCGTATCTGCCATCAGAGAGGCGTTTGACAACGAGACCGTATACGTAACAGACTGGTTGGAGAACAAGCTCCCTAACCAAAAGGAGATTCTCGAAGATCAAGACCTTTGCATCGTCTTCGCCAATGCCGATTCAGGAGAAGGGTATGAGCATTACGGAAACATTCGGGGCGACAGAAACGATCTCAATCTGCAAAAAGGCGGTGCCGAGCTCATCAAGAATGTTGCCAAAGACTGTGGAGAAGGTATGGGTGACGTCGTTGTCGTCATCCACACGGTTGGATCCGTCATCCTAGAGGATTTCATCGACATCATGAACGTCAGGGCAGTACTCATTGCCCATCTTCCAGGTACGGAGTCTGGAAATGCTATTGTAGATGTACTTTTCGGCGATGTCAACCCATCTGGTCGTCTACCCTACACCATTGCCAAGAAGGAAGACGACTTTGGTCCAGGCAGCAAGGTCAAGTATCTTCCCAGTCCATCCGACGGTCTTGCCCCTCAGCAAGATTTCACCGAAGGTCTATATATCGACTACCGCTATTTCGACAAGCAAAACATCACTCCTCGATACGAATTTGGCCACGGTCTCTCATACACACAATTCGAGCTATCTTCCCTCATGATCGAAGAAAAGAGCGCAAAAACACCTCTACCCAAGCCTCGACCAGAAGGCCTCACACCCCCATCCTACTCCACCGACCTTCCAGACCCGGAATCAGTCCTCTTCCCTGAAGGCTTCAACAAAGTAGAACAATACATTTACCCATGGCTCGAGTCTACCAAAGGCATCAAGAAATCCGAACCTCCACAGCCTCAACCCCCATCCTCCCCGCTCAGTGACGCAGGCGGTGGTCCAGGCGGTAACCCGGACCTCTACACCACCCTCCTCATCGTCTCCGCCTCTCTCGAAAACAAAGGGCCCCTAGACGGCGCTTCCGTCGTCCAGCTGTATATTTCCCTTCCGCAAGACTACAAGGATCACGAGACGGGTGAGCTGGTGGATTTCCCTGTTCGTGTGCTGCGTGGGTTTGAAAAAGTGCAGCTTGAGAAGGGCAAGGGCAAGTTGGTCCAGTTTGAGGTTACGAGACGCGATTTGAGTTATTGGGATGTCAAGCGGCAGAATTGGGTATTGCCTATGGGAGAGATTGGGATACAGGTTGGGTTTTCGAGTCGCGATTTGCCGTTGAAGGGCAAGTGGTGAGGTTGCTCGTCATTGTTGTCGTTGTTGTTTTTCTGTTTAGATGGTCGGGGTGGATAGTTCAGGGATGGAGTATAAGGCGTAGATTTTGGCGTTCTTTTTCTGTGCCTTTTTTTTCTTATACTTTTTTCCCTTTCTTTTGTGTGGGTTAAGGTAGCAAGATTCGATATCCTAGATACATATATATTTTCCCATTCTGAGACTTGTATTTCTATGAAATGATTATCCTACTTTCCTTCCGCAGTTTCGTGTCCATTCCCCATCCTAGCAGAATTGGGGGGAGTTTACAACTCACTCTTCTCCTTGCTCTCCTCATTCACTGGCCTCCTTCCCCGCGCAAACAAAATCGTCCGCCACATCTTCTTGCCGCCAAACTCCATGTACGACTTCTCCTTCATAGTCTTGACGTCTACATCGACAAATCCCGCTTTCTCGAAGAATTCGCGCACTCCGTCTATGGTGAAATGCGGTACCACGACTGAAGCAGCCATTTTGCTATGAAGACTAGCGCCGTGTTTGTCGCTCTCGTCATGGCCATGATCGTGCTTGTGACCATGCTCATGCTTATGACTATGACCATGACCATGGTGATGCACAGCATGATTCCCCTGACTCCCCTCCACCATCTTCCCCTCCTCATCCACCAACACATCGCCTCCCTCCAGAAAATCATTAATCACCAAAACACCACCTGGCCTCAGCCGCTCCTTGAGTTGGCTTGCAGCATACACTACGTCTTCGAAGTGGTGGAACCCGAAACCTACAGTCGCGAGGTCGAAGTCACGGAACTCTGGTGCGTCCAGGGAAGAAGGGTTGGGATCGGATTTGTCGAAGAGGTTGCCGACTGCAGTGGTGATGGTAATGGGTTGGGGGGAGACGGAGGCGAAGCGCGAGGTGTAGGTTGAAATCATGTTTGGGGAGATGTCGATAGCGGTTGTGTGGGTGATGTAGGGAGCGAAGATCTGGTTTGCAACTTGTTAGATACGTTTGGGGTGTTTGTTTTTTGACCGTTTTGTGCGTGCAAAGGAGATATCTCGGTGAAATCGCTTTTTCTCGTCTGATTTAAGAGGAATTGGTCGGGGAGAAGAACTGTGGAGACAGGGAAGGGGAAGGGGGAGGACGAAGAGACGTACCCTCGTCATTAATCCCGTGCCACAGGCATAATCCAGCATTCGGACTTGCTCAAAACCTGTGCTCTTCTGTCCTTCCGTGGGGACATTGACGAGCGGGATACCGATCCAGGATAAATCGCGGCGTAGGGCTTCGGTGACTTGGTTGTTTACTGTTGCGAACCAGGGTTTGGCATCGTAAGTATCCGAGATGGAACTGTCAGTATGTCAAAAATGTTTGTGTTAGACGACGAAGTATTATTTTAGGAACTGGTAACGATAGGATAGAGGGAAGTGTGGAATGGGAAAGGGGAAAAAGCAACAGGAAATATAATCATACTCAAAGTATTGACGGTTAGCGTCTGCAAGGCTCATGATGTACAGCTTGTTTGCGTATGTTGAGAATGTAGGTAAACTATGGATATTGGTGGAGTGGTGTAATGTTGCGATCAAGTCAGACAAACAGAAATGATTGAGGTGTGATAGTCGAATTGAAGCTGTACAAGAGAGCTTTCCATACTCTTTTTATATGTAGATGTGAAGTTGTGATAGGGAGTGGGGCCTGGGTAAAAGTCGCCGGGTCTAGCATCGGAAACTTGTCAAGGTACGTACTACGCTAAAAAGTTGACGCTGTCATTGGTCGAGAAGCGTGACAATGCCTGCGCGTCGGAAACATATTATGGCAACATTCCTTCACATGAATGAGTCAAAAGGTGATTTGTCATGTAATAGGGGGTTCCTGAAAAGGCCAAAAGCAGGTAGGGTGAAAATCGGAGACATTGTGCTCAGGTCTCTGAGTATAGAGAAAATCCTTCATTCACGACAGTACATTAAATTTAATTCGAATTTCACCTGCAATTTAACATGGACTACATTTTTGTTTGCATTCGTGACATTGAATATACAACACATGCAGTGTAACTATGTTTTTGATGCTTGTTTGCTCGCCATACTAGCGACAAGACCAACTAGTTGTGTCATGAGAACATACCACCAATTTCATCCAGGTCTCTTCCTGTTGGCTCTTTCTGATTGTCTTGTTCATCTTTATTTTTCAAAGCTTGCTGTCGTGCAAGGCCTTCTTCTCTCTTCCTCTTTTTCCTAGCATCTGCGTCTTCCCAATCAGGTGGGTGTGAAGTGCTCTGTTGTTGCGTCTCTAAGAGTGCATTGCGAAACCGGGTTATTCGGTCGAGGTTGATCTTGAAACGCTCGTTTGCTATAGACACTAAAGTTTGCAAATACCTCTCATTCACCAAAGCAACGTTGTCTCCATTTGCGTTCTGGTAGCCTATGATGGAATCGAAGGAATAACCGGCTGATCGAACGGCTACTATAGGGTTTGATTCTCCTTTTGCTGACCCAAGGCTTACAGCACCGCTTTCACGAAACCCAGCCGCTAGTGCTGCATTGAGGACGTGCTGGGCGTCGTCTATAGATGCAGTCAAGATGTGCAGGATCTAAGAACTGTCAGATGGTGAAGGTTGCCGTTGTCGAAAATCTCACCATAGGCTCGAATTTGAGATGAATGTATCTACTAGCGACGGTTGGTCCCTCATTGTCAACTTCCGACTTCTTCAGTCCGAAATCAGGCAAAAAATCGTGATTTGCATCCACGTTTTGGACTGGTTCATGAGAGAGGAACAGCCATGCACCCCCGCCGCCCTTTCCTCCAGGCCCAGCTCGTGAGTCACCGCCTTGATTAGAGGAATCCTCGATGGTGAATTCTGCCTTACGGCCTTCCAGGAATACGCTGATGCGTCCTGAGCAGCTGCTGGTCGTGACAAAGCCTTCGAGGCGGTTGATTTCTCCAATCAAACCTCGAATTGGGGCATCGACAGAGCCTTTTGGCGACAGGTCATGGTAGTCGGCATCGGGAGTATCTAGCTGAGCGAGTATTTTTTGCTTGCGCGCTGCGAAGCGGGTGGTCATGACTATGAGGGGTCCGTGGTTTGATAGGGCGGACGAAACTCGTGACACCGTGATGGGTTTTCGCGTTCGTGTGCGTCATCGATGGCCAGTGCGCGCTCCGACCTCCAAACAAACCGAGTCACTCACAACTCCTGTAGTAGCTCTTCCATACTTCTGTTAGTCCTTGGAAACGGTAAAATGCCACGTAAATCGACCAAAGAAACCAAACCCGCCGGGCCCAGGAGCTCATCCAAGCGTCCTGCACAGGAAACTCCACAGAGACAGTCAAAGAGGGCAAGGGCGACTGCAAGGAAATCCTACGTTGATCCAGGCACCGACACAGACGATGCAGACGATAAATCAGCAAGAAAAATATCACCTAGTGCAGACGAACAAGATGGCGCGGCCTCCGACTATGAGGATCATGAGAACAGAGAATCATCCGTCGGGTCTGAGGCCGACGAGACCGGCAGCGACGAAGATGATGATGAGAGCAAGAGCCGTAAGCCACGAGGGCGCGCTTCCAAGAGCCTTCCTATCCACAAGAAAAATTCTGATGAGCAAGAGTTGTGGAAACCAGGAGCTAAACTTGAGCCGGGGACACGAGTAGTCATCAAAAAGCCGAAAGCTCGAGATGCAGGTGATACACCATACTTGGACCACACGATTCATCCGAACACTTTACTCTTTTTGACAGAACTGGCAGCCAACAACGATCGAAGTTGGCTAAAGCGTGAGTATTTCTTTCTTATACCTCCTCGTTCAAAGCGTTTCGGGAATCATGTGCAAAGGTTGACTAACAGTTATGTAGTACATGACCCTGACTTTAGAGTGGCATTTCAAGACTTTACAACGTTTGCAGAAAATGTGTCAGAAAAGATCATTGAAGCAGACGAAACAATTCCAGAGTTGCCAGTCAAGGACGTGGTAAGCACCCATCCAAACCCATTTTAGTCTGTCTGTTAACGTGCGTAGATCTACCGGATCTACAGAGGTGAGGTTTGTGGGCAAAGATGTCATACGAAGATACTGACGCAACAAGATATTCGCTTCTCCAAAGACCCAACACCCTACAAGGTAAGCCAATGTCATTTCACCATCATTGGAGAACAGGCTTTGGCGAACATTTATGTTGTCAGAAGATTCGATCTACAAGCTCAATTGTCAGGAAATATGATGATCCATGTTTTAGTGAAAGACATCAACTCTGTGTCTTGGACAAATATATTGGGACGTGCACTGACAGTTGCAGACCTACTTCTCCGCGGCATGGTCAAGAACTGGACGCAAGGGACCCTATGCGCATTACTACGTACAGGTGCAGCCAAAAGGTGGAAGTTTTGTAGGTATGTTCACATTTCTTAGCTCCTTGCTCTGGGGACGGCGTGTAGCTACGCGCTGTTGTGGAACCTGTTTCCGAGCACGAATTGACCTCGTGGTTACCATCGTCTTCCATCGGCCTAAGTATGCATGTTCTCTACATGTGTTGCCAATGGTCATACGCATGTGATCATCACAGACTGAATTTTTGTGCGCTGTATTTTGGCCCTACCGAGTTTTGCGACCAATATCGTGCACTGTAGTGCCACGACTGCGCGACTACTGCCAGAAACAGGCAAGACGATTCTGCTGCGGCTATGCTGAACGTACCGATACTGGTCAGCAGTAACAATGCTGTTGTATCTGCGGTGTGAGGAGGCATTGCACTGTACCATTGGGTAGCGCTGCCAGTTGCACGAGTGGAACATGGTAATGAATGTGCTCCAGCAGTCGCTACCCTTCTGGAGATTGGTGGTGTAACATGCCGGATAGCCTCGAGGTTCGGCTGCGGGCCGCATGATGACGCTGATATCGCGCGCGGGTTCGGTGCGCTTCGGTGCGGAGTTGTGCTTGGACGCTCATCGTTCCCCATTGCAATGTGGTAGCATCATGGAGCCCTACATGGTGTTCTTGGTTTCAAAATATGCAGTCATGTGCTAACTTTGTAAGGTGGTGGCTATTGGCAACCCGACGCAGCAGCTCTTGCTAAACTTCGTCACGACATCGATCGCAAACCGCACAAGATCAAATCTGTGCTTAGAAACCGCAACTTGAGGGAAACGTTTCTGGGGGGAGTGCAAGACGACGATAAGGAGGCGGTCAAGGCCTTTACAAGCTTATCCATGAACCAGTCAAACGCCTTGAAGCGTAATCCCAAGGTGAGTGATATGTGTTTTGTCTTTTGAGCCAAAACTAGCAACAATCTCCAGAGGGGCATCAAAGCCAGCGTTGCGTCTGACACGAGTGGCATGGATGTGATTGGCCCATGGTTCGGACGGCCGATCCGGGCTTGGAGTTAGCAACAGCCATGATAGGATTACTCGTGTGCCCGCTACAAACCGGGAGGATTAAGCTTTGGAGTGTGTATCTGGAGCTTCTGCGTTCCAACGCTGTGCCGTAGGGCAATTAGAGTTTCAAGCCGCCCCGCATCCAACAAGCCGAGGGCAGCGGTTAGGACGACAGCTCAGCTAGTCGACAGTTTTTTTTTGCTCAATGCTCAGCAACGAAACGGACGGGATGCATTTGGGACTATGCCTGATAAAGTTTGCTGACAGGTGGGCCAGGGATACGATCATGATCACAAAGACATTGATCTTTTGCGGCTCCGCAACTTCACGATTGGCCGTAGGGTTGCAGACGAAGTCATTGTCGGCACGGGCGGGCTGGAGCGAGTAGCTGAGCTCGTAATGGCAATGGTGCCATTTGTAAGTTTGCAGTTTTGCTTGTCCAAGATGGAGGGTATGGGTGTTTGATTGGACGGGGCAGGGCAGAAGCGGCAGCAGCTTGTTAGGAAGAGCCCTGTACGAGGCAAGCGACGGTGCAGTCACCGGGGCAGCGCAAGATGCAGTCTTTGTCGAGGCATTGGGCGTAGATGGCGGCTAACGACAGGTGCAGATTACGTATCTCAACAGCGTTGTCATGCCGGACGAGGACACGTCGGGGGCAAGCAGCGAAGACGAGGATGATGCAGACGAGGGTGCAGATGAGGAGGCGGAGGCATAGACAGGTGCAGATGCAGACGCAGACGCAGACGAAGGGCAATGGGCCGCCCAACCACAGACAGGAAGCAATGGAGAGGATGACGAGGCTTGACAAGAGCAATTTCAGCAACGCATGTTCATGGCGCGGTGTCTGGGGCCGAAGTCATGCGGATCGAGGGATTGGGCGTCGGGGACAGGCAGTGTCTTGGAGGAGGTGGGCCACAAGCGCGAAGCCCGCCAATAGACGCCTGTGTAACCCTGCGGCAGTGGCGCTGACTGGCTGGCCCAAGCGAAGGGCATGCAGCGAGCCAAGTCATCGTGCGTTAGCCAGCCAGCCCGTTCTCGCTCGCGCCTGGCGTTGCGGGAGACCGCATGACACTAACGGTCATGTGACGCGCTAGTGTAGCGTTCGGGTCTGCTGCACGTTCAGATCCTAGCCCACGCAAATCGCCCCGAACAGGCAAGACTTCTCCGTTCCCCCCGGTCCCAGTCCTTGATTCTGCCCTCCGCCCCTCTGCCCTCTGGCGCGGGCCTGCCGCCCTCTCTCCTAGCGCCTCCTATCCAAGCAACCACGTCCAAGGCCAGCCAGCCGAGAGCAGGGCACGCGCTGTGGGGACCACCGAGGGGAGGGGGGAGGGGGAGGGGGCAGGACAACACAGCACACCGCAGCACAGCACTGCACTGCACACACTGCACATTCTGCGAGCGACCTGCCTCCTCCCTCCTCTCCCTCCCTCTCGATGCGACTCGATTCGATTCCACTCGACTCGACTCGACGCGAGCCATGGCCATGACCGCATCAATGCCGCCGCCGCCGCTGCTGCTGCTGCTCCTCCCACCCCGTCAATGACATTGCCGCCCTCGCTCGACCTGCTGGGGTATGTGTCCACCTACTGCTCTGTCCGCTCGCCCCATCACCTGCCCTCTCCGCACGCTCCTGACTGCTGTGACATGCTGTACACGTTGCGTTAGGCTGATACGGCCACGGCCCGGGGCGCACTCGTTGTCCGTCTGGGATGCATGGGTGCTGCTCTAACGCATCGGATCAAGGCCAGCTGCATGGCATGGCATGGCATGACGATGGCTTCACCAGCTCGTCGAAAGACTGCGCAAAGTTGGCAGCCGGCTAGCTACTCGCACTGGCACTGGCGTTGATTCCGTCAGCGCCATGCAGTGCAGCTCTGCGACCCCATCACCCTCTTCGGCCGCCGGCGATACTGCCCAAGACTTACGCCATCAGCCCCAACACGAACACGTGTGAGTCAAATGCCCAGCTGCGACTCGTCTGCCGCCTGCGACCACTACCCAGTACTTTCCCTCCCCCCATTCGGCGACTCCCGTGCATTTTTTTTTTCGAGGCCTTCGTCGCACTCTGTTAAAAAGCGGTGTGCTCGTGGGGCATCGTCAGGTAATATCCAACCCTTTTATCCAACACACCGATGGGTCGCCATAATTCTTTCTTCCGCGAATTAGCACCACTCGGGCTGATCAATGGTCCCGCTACGGCTTGTGGCCGCTTACCCACCTTCCGTCGCTCTAAACGACATCTGCCGGCGTTCGTCACACGATTGGTTTTTTTTCCAGAAGCCAAAACATGTCGATGCTCAAACCATGTCCGCACAAGCGGTACGGCCTGTCGTTGCTCAGACGTCGTGTTGAGTTGGGGGGGGGCCATCATACGATGTTAACAAACACCCCCTCCTCCCCCAATAAACCAGGCAGCTAAGCGCAGAGGACATACCGCTTACCCGCCAGGGCGTATTCCCTCGCACCGTGCTACTGCAAGGACGGAAGTTATGCGTCCCAGCTTATACATGGACAGATTATAGAATTGCGGCAAGCCAAAAGTTGCCATCAGGATGCAGAAGGATGCTTGTGCATTGATGCATGGACACGGTTCGACGGACGGCGCCTCTGACAGGACTTGTTGCCGCATTTATAGACAATGTTTGTTTGCAGCAGCGTCGATGCGCGTCCTGTCAAAGTTGGTTGATAGCTGCCCCTTCCCTGCCTGCAACCTGTCAGACGGCGGAGGCGTCGCACAGGACGCCATTCGTCTCGGAGGCTTGATGATGTCTTCCCGCCTGATATAACCACATTTGGATTTACGCGCAGCTCGCGGCACACGAGACGCGGCACAAGCGACACGGGTCTTCTTTACTGCTTACGAACCACTCATGCTTGCAGCACTCTGCAGGCCTTGCATCTTTTGGGGTCAAGTTGTGTGACACAAACTTCGTTAATCTAAACGTCAACGGGACATATGCGGGAATTCCACACCTCGTCCCGGCCCGCTGATACACACTTGGGACCAAGCGAGTGACTCCGGCATGCTGTATCCACGCGCTGTTCCGCACTCTTGATTCACCGCTGTCAAAAAGGATCCATTCTTGGGGTAAATGCGCTTCGCGCCGCAGCCTTAATGTGCGTTGTGCGGACTGCTGCTTGTGCTTGTGCTTGTTTGGGGTGAATCGACCGAAGGACGGGTGAAGATCCATCATGGCTGCTCTTACCCCACAAATGCACCGTTCGGTTGGTGTAACCGTCATCCACCTGCGGCAATTGACGGCATTTTCTTTTTTTTCTTTCGCCCACCACACAACTTATACATCCATACATGTACACATACACGTTCGCATTCGCACTCGCGCTCACGCTCACTCAAAAGGCTGCTGCTGCGAATACGGAGGTGATGACTGTCATGGCAATAAACACGCGTTCATGGTCCGTTCTTTGTCGCTGAGTACCCTGGGACCACTGGCTGCATCTGCGCTCATTAAACATGGGCTCGTGACTGACTCGGATGTCGAAATGCGGTGTGGCAGTCAATCAAAGCACAGCAATAATCAAATGCGCTTTGCCGCGACCGGTGAGTGTGTCTGCTCGCAGCAACGTCGTAAAGTGCAAAAGGCTCGAGCGAGGTATGTATGTCATCACGTCTTGTGACCCAGACCAGGGGGGGGGAGATATTTTGTTGTTGTTTTTGCCTGGGCATGGTGCGCATTGGAGACTTGCCCATCTCCCAGCACATGCAAGGCACGCAGACGCACACAGATAAACACACACGCATATGAACAGCCATTTGACAGTGGGAATTTTGCTGACTGGAGAAATGCATGTTAATGTCGGGTGGCTGATTGGCTGATGGAAGTGATTCCAACCTGGCTGCGGAAAGCGTGGGTTGAAGCTCCGCGGGCCGTCCGCCCCAATCTGGAGAGAGGGAATGATAAAAAGGTAGGTGGTGCGCCCCCAAGGATGGCTGCAAACTACGGCGGGCTGACGATTCTTCGCTGGAGCGTTGCGTCGTCACCCATTTATGCAGCCAGTCGAAAACAGGCCGGCAAGGTGCCGAGGCTGAATACGCTCTGGGCGTTTCGCCATTCTGTTGCCTCGTGGTGGCTACATCCGCGCAAGTCCGAGAGAGCCTCGTCACCGGCGGGAGATTCGGCAGTGGGAGAGAAAATCCTACAAAGGCTCTTTGTCTGCGTGTGAGTATTGCAGAATCATGGCAGGCGTCGAATCAGAAGGGCAGGCAGGCGTTTGGCCATGGATGCCGGTTTGCAAGCCGCACGCCGGCGCAAGGGACGAACGATGGGCCAAATTGTGGAGGCCGGATGACGGGGCGTGATTCGAGGACAAAAGCGAGGTGCGTCGGATGCCACCCGTCTTACACGAAGCAATGGCAGCTGAGAAAGCGGCCATGTCGGGCATGCCTTTAGGCGCAAGGCTGGTCAGAGCCGGCACTATTATGCAACAGACTGGGTAGAGACGAAAACTCTACCGGAAATGGTGGAGCTTGCAGCGGTCATTTGCTAGAGCTGGAGTCGCTGGAGCAAGTTGGAGCTGCTGCTGGCTGGAGCGAACGGTTCTCCCGGCGCAAGACATATCGGCCCTCCCGCGTGCTACACTGCCCCGCGAGCGGGCGAGTGCCTGAGGTCGCCGAGTCGCACCGGTGGGCGCGCGCCCTTGACTAGCCATGGCAAGGAACTCACGTCACAACGCTGCAAACAGCACAAGGCCGTTGCCGCAGTGTTCCACACCAACTGTCACGACAGGGGTGCTGCCGTCCTTGACGAGCAAAACGACCGACGCGCCCGGATTGATCAGCCCTATCAGATATTGCAGCAGATGAAAGGGCAACAGGCCGCCTCGTGGCCTATGAAGCAGAAGCTCACGCACATGCCTGCCTGCCGGGGGGAGCAGCGGCGGCGGTGGAGGTGGAGGAGTAGCAGTAGGAAGAGGAGGAGGCATCAACGATGCGAGATGACTGTGGTTGTCGTCACGATTTGGACAGCAGTGTTTGGTCATGGACGAGTCCAAAAAGCAGGCATGACGGGCGGGCAGCATGGCAGCATGGCGGCGGCGGCCGCCCTCGCCGCCGCTCAGCAAGGCCAGCAAAGCACGGTGCGACCATGACGGGCTGTAGGCCTGCTCGTACCGTGGTTCGTAAGCTGTCGCATGTCCCGAGCTATGTCCTTCGCGAAGGACGCGACACAAGGAAGGACGCAGAGACGGCCCGTCGACGACTCAAGAGCCCCGAGGTGCTCCCACTAAGTACTGGCACTACTGTGCCACTGTGGGTGCATGCGTAGGCGACGCCCCCCCTTCTGGCAGCTCAGACGGGCTGGGAGGCGGGCTTGGGTGCAGGCTCGACAGACAACAAGCAGCGCTGGCACGGCGAGGCGGCCGCGGGCGGAACTGGGGAGTGCGAGGGCGGTGGTGACATGGACGCTGATTGCAGCGGCCTGTATATAATTAAAGGCTCGTAGATCACAGCGCGACGGGAGTCCCCGAGCTCTTGGCGAGTCATACATCTCAAGCAAGCTGCCGGCCCGCAGCATCATCATGCACACGGGCCCGGGCTCCTAGGTCATACGCCAACCAGCAAGGGGCCTGACTCTGGGTGCGAGGGGGGGCGGGCAGGCCAGCCAGGCCACGCCCGCCGTGGATGGCATGGCATGGCGGACTGGTGGTGGACTGGTGGTGGATTGGCGGATGCAGATACGTCGTCGTCGTCGTCGTCGCCGTCGTCGTTGCTGTGGGACGCCCGCTGGCTGCGAGGGAGAGGGGGGAGGAGGCGTGATGCGATGCGATGCGATGCTACAGCCGCGGCCACACGCACTGCACGCTGCCCACCAGCCCATGATCCATCCGCCGGCGCCGCTCGAGGGCCTTCTGTTGCCTTCGCCCGTCTGCGTCTGCTGCTGCTGCTGTTGCTGTTGCTGCAGGCGGGTGGTGTGGCTGCACGTCCAATGCAAGTGAGGATGCCGCATGGCCTTTAGCGCGTTTGGCGGACCGTCGCCGTCGTCGCTGCATGGGGCGGGCAGGGATAAAAACGCCATCCTAGTAGAAGCGGCGAGAAGGTTGAGTTCTCGGGCACGCGGTGGGTAGTGTAATAGCGGCCGCTCCAACCTGAATCTCCTTTTTCGCTTCCACGCTCTTGGGTCCCGTCTCCTCCACGCGCTTCGAGAAGCCTTCACCTCCACAGCCTTTCCCTCAACCTACGACAGCCCCCTTCGCAAGCTGACGCACCCCCGACCCCAAGACACGTCCAACCAGCCCAGTCGCCCACCGCCCTTGTCCTCCTGTGTGCACAACCCCCCCTCGCCCCATTCCTCCGATCCGCCCACCTCGGCTTGGCTCTGCAACGAGTGCCCAATTTGCTCTGCCTTCTCTTTCTCACCTGCAGCAACAGCCGACCTTGCGGCCCGCTTGCCAGTATTTTGTGACACCTCACCCGCCCCAGAGGATCTCCCGCACCACCAGACCAAAACCAACGTCCCTCCCACTTCCTTTGACGTCGAGGCTGGCCCATCTGTGTGTTGCACTGGTCAAGAGCGCCGTGTGATTGACAGGCACCACGTTGTGCCCGCCATCGAATTAGACGGCCCGCACACACACTCTCTCTCACACACGCACTCACCGCACACATACGCTCTCTCACACTCTCTCTCTCCCCCTCCCTCTTTCTCTCTGCCTCTCTTACTCACATTCACCCACCCACCCACCCACCCACAATCTCGCCTACCACTACCGCCACTCGTCCGCGAGCAATGTTCCCTCACCAGGGTGGCCAAGGCCAGCTTCCCACCCACTGGCAGCCGCCTACCTCGCAGCAGCCTGCGAATGGCTCTTATGCGCCGCCTCCCCATGTAAGTCGCTCTCGTACTTGCTCGTCCTCTCTTGCCTGTTACGCGAGCCTTGCAAATCAGCACTGCTAGTGCCCACGTCATCTCGTCCTCTGGGTGACAGCTTGCTGACATTTGACGTCAACCCAGATGAATACCACGCTCCCTCCTCCACCACCCCAAGAGCCACGACCCGACATGGCTCAACATCCTCAATATCAGCACCCGCACCCCCAGCCCTACCGTCTACCAGGCCCCAATGAGTGGACGCGTGCTCCTCCTCCACCAGATCCATACCGCCAGCAGCCTCCACCACCACCGCAATACGTCCAGCAGCACCACCAGCCGCCAGCTCCTCGCCAGCGCACTGCCATTGCTTGCCGGTACTGCAGACGCCGCAAGGTACTTGATCGCCCAACGCAATGCATCGAGATAACATAGCTTACCCTGACCCATAGATTCGATGCTCGGGCTTCGAGGCGACAGAAGACGGCCGCTGCTCCAACTGCATGAGGTTCAACCAAGACTGCATCTTCACTCCCGTTTCCGCACAGACTCAGGCTTTTGTTCCTGCCCACACCGTCTGGCGAGGCGTTGGCCAACCGCCACCCATGTATGGTGCCTATGGCCAGCCTCTTCCTCCTGCTAGCCATGGTGAGCCCTATGGCCAGCCGGCGCGTCCGCAGCAGTATCTGCCCAGCCCAACTGCAGGTCCGTACCAAGCTCATTCTGAATATGGTCCACCAGGTGCTTCACCAGATGAGGCAAGCCGTGACGCCATGGCGGGCAGGAAGAGGCTTCACCCAGAGCCTCACACTCCAACCTTGCCTCCGCCACATCCTGGCTCAGCGTCACAGGCTCCTCATCGAGGCACAGGACCAGAGTATGCCTACCCAGAGCCACCATCTCTAACATCGGCTGCCCCAACAGCAAACCCACCAACCGCATATTCGTCTGGTCCTCCACCCGCCCAACCTTACTACGCCGCCCAACCGCCGCGCCAGGGCTCCCCACAGAGCGCTTATCGCTACGAGCCAAGTCGCAATTCGTCTTCGCCACACTCACAAGCACCCACGACGCCCGGTGCTCCGCCCACACCCTACTACGGCGCTCCTCCCCAAACAAACGGTGTTCTACAACCTCCACCACCCCACAGCGATGGCCGCACACCGCCACCGCCCACATCGCAAGCTTCGGCAAGGCCGAGCATGCGCATTAACGACCTAGTAACCGACAATGGCCCGGCTCGCAGCTCGACCGACTCGTCCATGCTTAACATGCTCAATCGCCGACCCATGTAAATCCCTTGTCTCATATCAGAGGCAATGCTCTGAAGCTGGTCTTTCGAGAGCGCTACACACAACCTGGATCAAGCAAAGGGGAAGAAAAAAAAGATACAGCAAAAAATCTCGATTGATTGCGGCACCCGAACCTTTACTCGTTTCCTCGTGTACAACCTTTCTTCCTGTCCTGTCGACATCTGCTATTGCAAGGAGTTCTGGCTGGTAACAGCGTGCTTTCTGGGCGGAATTCTGCTTTTAAACGGCGATAAAGAGCATCGAGACTTTTCTATCTAATACTGAAAGATCTACCTCACTGTCATTTCCGGGGTTGTTTTGTTTATTTTTATTTATTTTTTTCCCTGTTTTCCTTATCATCTCGAGTGCGGAGGTTGCTAATCTGACGATGTGCGCGCTCATTCCGGTCCTTGGAGTGGGTGGTGTGTCATCTTTTTAACGTTTGGCGGCAAGCGCTCGATTCCGGCTGTTCTGGTTGAACATAAGCTACTAAACTGGGTGGTATTCTGTCTTTTCCTGCAAGCTTTTAGAACTGGAGGGTTGCATCATGTCACGGAGGCTTGGTTGATAGTCGCATCATCTCAAGGCCTGGGTCGAACCAGCTCTTTACGTGCTTCACTGCATTGGCTGGGGTAGTGGTAGTTTGTGCTTTTTTTTGTACATCGTTGTTACGGTTCATGTTATCCATTAGGTGCGGTTGCTATATTCCCCTTCTTCTAACTGTCTCTACCGCATTCTAAACTTCTCTCTATTCTGTCTGGGATCTTTCTCACTGGTGGGCGGCTATCTGAATTTTTACTCGCAAAGACACGTCCAAAGGCAAATGGGTCATCAGCAGCAACGTTATGTAGTATTTGTTTTTCTTGGGTTTTTTTATTCTTGTTATGTTTTGCACTAGCTATCTAAATTGAAGACGTTTGATGGTGTGTAATGCTTACTGGGCTTTGGGTTATCCTTGGTCAACGGTGAAGAGTATGTCTTCCTTTGTGTGTCAGCTTACACTAACGTTGCTACTGCCATGTATGTAACCACGACTACCATGCTGAGTCACATTCATTGGGGGAGGGGGAGAGAACGTGGTGTGCATTGGGTTGCACACGAACATGAGCACGAGCAACGCAGGGTCGATCCGAGTACGAGGACGGATACGCACGTGTAGTGCCTTCCTTTTCCGTGTATACCGCTTCCCACCCCCCACAGAAGAGAAAAGTAACCACCCGCCACGGACAGCTTGGACCACGTACTTCCCACTTCTTGTTCTTCTTCTTCTGCTGCTGCTGCTCATTCTTCTTCCGGCACCCGGTTCTCGATCGATCCAAGTACCAGGGAAACTGGACATGCCTTGCAGCTCGACTATCCATCGTACCAGGCCCTTCTGCTCACTACACGCATGACTGGCACAACTGACACCCGATGGTCGCACCAGCCTGTGCGTCGGCAGTCGCCACTCTCATCACGCCAGACAAACGCTATCGATCTGAAAATGTCCTCAGGCCGCGGTTCCGTATCGGGATCTATCGGCAACGATGACTGCTCGGTCAAAGCTATTTGACACCGGCACGGCACGGAGCGCCCAGCCGGCCGACTGTGAGCAATGCTGCTCGAGTTGCATCGAGATTCACATGATTGGTCTTGGTTCAGCGACTTACTTGTTGCATGGTACAGAGATATGGACTTGACGCATTGTACGGTAGCAGTGCCGCCGTCGCCATCTAGTCTGGAGAGGGGGGGGGTGATTGCTTCTGACTACTGGGAGGCACGGGAAGAGGCGCTATGGCGCTTGGAGCAGAGGGTTGTCAGATGCAGGGAAGACAAAGGACCTTCTTGGTCCTGAGCTTTAGTGTACCGACATCTTGTGGCGTTGGTGTGTCTGTGTCTGTGTAGGGCGGCCAGATGATGATCCGGTCATGTCAGGTCAACGCTGGGTGGCGCTATCACCATCTTTCTACCAATGTTCACGGCCAAGGCCAGCCAAAGCAAGTATGGAAGGGTTACGTTTTGTCTTCCCGTCGGCTGCCGGCGTGCACATGATCAGCCCACGAAGCGAACCAGCCGTGTAGTACGTGTATGTGCTATTACAGCTGTCGAATTAGGGGTGGGGTTTCTTAACATTACTAGTTAGAAGGGGCTCGCTTTTGTAGCGTACAGTAACCTTCATCCAACACATTCTAAGTGGATTACTTAACGGAACGGAGCGAGAAGCAAAGTTTGAGCCACGATGCTACTAGGACAAGTCGGCAACCGTCATAGGGCGTCCAACATACACCAAAGTACGTGGCCGAGCACAAGATGCAGGGCAATTCCCCACTGAACCAAGAACGAATACGACTTCAACACATGCATGTCGCACTCGCAAACGACAATCGTTCGCTTTCTCAGCTATGGGCTGTTTGTCAAATCGAAGAGTCCAATTCAGAAATCGACATTAGGTGAAAGGAGCATACGCCAGAATACATGACTAGGTTCATTGCCCTGACAATTCTTTCCTCTGAAAGTGAAACAGAAACTTATTCCCAAGTAAGGAGCTATTGTCGAGGCCAGGTTCAAGGTTCTTCCCGTCTGACTTGATCTTGGTTGCTGGGCTCCGTTGGGTTTATTGATTCAGTGAGATGGGCAAGAAGGATTGGCAAGGGTACGTAGACGGACCTGTCACGATTCGCTTTCAGCCTGTTCTCCGTTTCAGGCACGAACCGCAACGGCCCAGCATCCTTTCCCATTCCCTCCCCCTCCCGCAGCACACGCACACACGGGGCCGCATCACTTAAGCCTACACGTGAAATGTCTCGAACCTGGTATCAGACCCGTGTATTCCGAGGCCCCCCGCATACTTATCATACAAACAATCCTTCCTCGGAACTACCCATTGGAGACAATGACATGGGGCGTTCCCACCGCAAGCGAAAAAGCAATGAAAAACGACGTTTAGGGCAAGGGCTTGTCATGGGGCGGTGCGGGACACAAGGAATGGGAAGCACGTTTCGAGCATGGGGCCGTCGGCCGCCGCCATGTGTTGTGTCGCGCAAACTGAGTCAGAAAAAACAGACTATTATGGGCTAGAGACCCTGTCCTTGCTCTCTCCAATCTCACGCCTCATCACTAGTGTACCGCTCTTTTTCCTTTCCGATCTTTTTTCCCTCTTCTCTTTTTCAGCTTTGGTTCGGAGCGTGCAGGTCCAAGATACACTGTGCGCTGTCCTGGCCAGTACTTAGACCAGGTAGTGCCTTGGTCATTCGCTTGAGCAAAAAAATCTTACCAATGGATTCCTGGCTATGTGATGAGAGAGGAGGGTGAGATACAGGATGTATTGTCGGAGGAGCGGAGCGAGAGGCGGCAACTTCCAGCACACCTCCCCCCCCTCCCCAAGAGGAACCGACCCATGTTACGTACCTCCATACTATTCCTGTTACTCTCATCACATCCATGACAGTAACTTCAACCGAGCCACGGTGGTATTTGCGGCGAAAAGAGCCAAGGCACGCACGCATATCGCGTGGCCATCCGTAGGTCTCCCCCTTCCCTTCCTCCACCCTTGTCGCTTCCATCCAATCGCTCGTCCATACAAGTGCGCAAAGGAATAAGACCCTGGACCCATTTCTTCCGTGCGTTCTCACTGTGGCACCCCCCCCCCCTCCCCTTTGGCCAAGCACAGGAAGCAACCGCAGGACATGTGCCTGCCTGTACCCGATGCGATACCGAATGCCACGTATCGCTGCGGCCCTCTAAATGTCATCGTCATCCACTTCCGTTCCGTTGTCCGGCCGCGACAGCCGTACATCTGGATGGACAGGTCTTCAAACCGCCGGTATACGGAGGTCCCCCCAGTTGGTGCTAAACATAACCTACATTGAATAATAAGGTAGAGCGAGCGGGAAGATGATCATGGGAAAGCGAAAGTCAGATTATCAAGTGTCCCGCTTACCACTGCCGCTACCACTACGGCTATCAAAGTAAAAAAAAACGTCTCCCCAGCTTATCCCTTGCACGCCACCAGCTCCCGCCACATAAGCCACAGAAAGGCACTCGCAATCACATTCCCTTCTCCCTATGTGCCCAGATGTGACCGTCTAGACTAATCTGAGACTCTCACCTGAACGTTCTTTCTTTTTCCTTTCAGCTTACGCTACGGCAAACGCCTTTTCAATGCGCAGACCAATAGCAACACCAGCGCCTAACCTTCTCACAGCAACAACACATGACTTATGGTGCCCATATTACATTCCGCAGCCAAGTCACAGCCACCACGCCAAGCCTCTGAGTAAGCTGGAGGGGAAAAAGAACAAGAAGCAGGAAAGATGAAGAAGAAGGAAAAAAACCATGACGAGCGGTGAGCGTACCCGACGCTACCATCATTTTTCGTGATTTCCCCTCCCCTCCCCTCCCCTCCCGCGATCTTCTCCTCTCCATTCCATCCACCAACAACAAATCAAACTCTGATAACGCCTCTCCCCCTCCCCTTTCCCCTCCCTTGCCTTCCCTTCTTCCCCCCACCCACTAGCCGCGCAACGTCACCGTAGCCCCATCCACCAAAATCCTTCCTCCTCCTCCTTTCCCTTCCATCAAACCCACTTTTTTTTCGTTGCCCTTCGCAAACAAGAAAACTAAAAACACTAGCGTACCGTATCTCGTGCATCGGAAAAGAGCCTAGCGCCCGGCTTCGCCTTTTCCCAACTACCCTACCCATCCACCCACTCACCCCTTGCCCTTTTTTTTCTCCCCCCCCCCTTCACCTAGACAGCCAGAGAGGGGGGGGGAAATGGACACGCCACATAGGCGCGTTGATGAAAGCTGAAAGGGATTTTTTTGCTTTTCCCTTGTTTCTATTTTGCTCTTTTTTTCTCTCTCTCTGTGCGGTAATGCAAGTAGAGAGGAGTAGAGAGTAGTGGACAGCAAGGATCTAGACGGCCTGGCCTACGTGACGATCCATTTTTTCCCGCTTTCTTTCTTACTTTCTTTTATCTTATCTTTTTTTTTCAATTCGGCAAGAAAAATAAACCCCTCTTTTTTTGGAAGGGGGAGGGGGGGTTGATGTAAATACTGCTTGCATCTTGAGAATTTTATTTTTATTTTTCGAAAAAAGGCCCTAAAGACACACACACCGAGAGAGAGAGAGAGAGAGAGTCAAAAAACGCGATTTATTACTTTATTTACTTATTTTTTCTTCTGGGAAGAATGAGGGAGAATGAGGAGGAGGAGGGGAAGGCAAGGGAAGTAATAGGTAGCATAGTACAAGGGATTAAAGCAAAGCAAAGTAAAGTAAATGCCAACCCCAGAAAAAAAAAACTGCAAAAGAGGCAGTGCTCTGAATAATTTTTTTGGGAGGAGAAAATTGAGGGGGGGGGGCCTTTGCGAACGCGTTGCGTTGCGTTGCGTTGCGTTGCTTTGCTTTGGTGGCTGCGTTGCGTTGCGCTGCACTGCACTGCGCGCTGCGGGAAAGTGGGGAGGGCGGGTGGAGTGGCTTGCGTGCCGTGAGCGTAAGCGCGCAGGTGTGCGTGCGTGCGTGTGTGCGTGCGTGTGTAAGTGTATATGCGGACTTATAGACTGGGTTTACTTTACTTAATTGAAGGGGGGAAGGGTTGAATGTGGGGTGAGATTTTGCTGGGTTTCTTTGCATGATGGTTTATGGAGGCAAGGGATTGGAGGGAGGGAGGGAGGGGGGAGGGGGGAAGACGGGGCGCGTGTTTTAGGGTTTCTTGGAGGTTTCTTGGAGGTTGTGTTGGGGTTGGGCGACGGCGGCGGCGGAGAGAGAGGGAGAGCAAGGCTGCGTACTTGGGGGTTGTCGGCGTCATGGTTGCGTAGATTGGGGGGATTATTTCTGTGTTGGGTGATCTTTTTTTTCCGTTGTTTATTTTTTTCTTTTCTGTGGGAGAGAGTGTTGGGCGGATATGTCTTGGGAATGTTTTGGATGGATTTGTGACGTAGGAGTTGGAGGAAGTTGGGTTTGTTGGATGGAGAGTACGTGGTAGCCTTGCCGAGCTGGGGTCGGTGCGCATGGAGTAGTTGCTTAATTTGTGGTTCTCTTTAGGTATTATTCGTATATGACGAGTTTGTTGTTGGTTTTCAGACACAGCAGGGTGGTACGTCACTTGTCCGCGGATGAGCCAGGTTCAAACATACGATTCTGAACAAGACGTTCGTGATCAAAGTTTCCCATGTTTATGTTTAAACTATGGAAACACAAGGTTCATTGAGCATATCATTTACCAAACCCAGACACAGGCCACAAGGAGACGGAAACTCAGTCAAAGAACTGTTATTTTGCAATTGAATATCAACTCAGTAATGATCTACAATGTAATCGCCATGTATACTTTCTTTCCATCCAGCACAAAAAAAAACTCCGAAATTCACAAAGAAAGTTCAAGAAACCAGAGCACCGTGTCCCGTTCCTCTCCACCAAAGAACTCAATTGTTTTTCCAGCGATCTGAGAACTCCCACTGGCATGATAAGTGAGCAAAGAACAAAGTGAACCGAACCCCCAAAAAAATTCATTTCTAGGGGTCGATCATTCACTCCCAATTTAAAATAAAATAAAAGATAAAAGAAAGAAGTCAAACTCAACGTCTTCTAACCCCGCCCCATCCAAACCGCACTCCCCCTCTCTTCACACCCCGCCAAGTCGCCCGCATCCGCGCAAGGATTGCACTCCGCCTCCTCCTCCGCCTCCTACCCGCGGAAGCAAGCTGCGTCCTACTATCCACTGTAGTAGCCGTATCTGTCATTACCGGTGGCGGTGGCGGTGGTGGCTCGCCCAGTGCCGCTGCCGCTGCCGCCACCGCCGCCGTAGTTCCCGAAAAGTTATGTCTCGAGGGGCTCAACGATGCATGTCTCGAAGGCTCGACCAAATCTGGCGGACCCGGGTTCGGGGGCCAGAGATTAGAAGTAGGGCCAGGATCCAGATATGGGATGCGGGAGAGTAAGCTGTTTGGGGGCGGGGGGAAGAGGATTGAGCCGCTACCTCTACTGGTACGACTGTTTTCTTGGGAGTCGTCGGAGTAGTAGCCGGCTAGGTGGTTGTAGGTGTCTTGCGGGGAGCGGCGGGGGTGTTGGCGAACGAAGAGGGACGAGGCGAGGCTGGAGGTGTGGGTTGAGGTCAAGGGGGTGCGGCCGAGGGGCTCGCAGAGCCACCAGTCTATTACGTAGTCGTCTTCTTCTTGCTGTGCATCGCGGAGACTGTCGACGCGGGAGTGGTGGGACGAGAGGGAAGTTCGTTGGCTCGTTGGAGTGCTGACGCCGTTGACTTGGTGGCTGAGGGTATCGTCGGCCATGCGGCCTCGCGACGGGCGAGCGGCTCTACTAGAGAAATGGTTGTTCGAGCCATTGAAAAGTGTACGGTTCGGAGGCACATGATGGTTCCGGTGTATAGGTACTAAAGCAGTGTTGTTAGTGTATTCATTTGAGGCATGACTATTCATGTGATCCCGGGGGTACGGGAGAACCATTATAGTAAAGTCCATTTGAGACATGCCCAGACATACCATTTCGAAAAACATGACTACCCACATCTCCGGATGCAATAAAGTCTCCATTAAATTCTTCATCCAGGGTGCCATTTTCCATGTGACCTTGTGTTGTAGGAGCGCCATTATAGCGAGGTTCGTCTGAGCCGTTGACAACCGCACCGTTTGGAGCCATGTGATTTTCCAAGTTATTCGTATCGGAAGCATTCCTATTGGTATGCTTATACGAGGTATCAGCAGGCTCGTCGCTTGCACTTCCTTGGATATCGACCCGGTATAGGGAATCGTCTCTATCGGATGATTGGTCCGAGGTATTATCGTTTCCCCCAACCCTGTGGTTTTGAGAATCGTCATCATCAGGTGAGGAAGCACCTCCTCTTAAGCCAATGGATGAAGATGGTATTTTGAGACAGTATCGTTTCTGAATGTCTCTTCGTCGGTTCGGGAACGACCTATTGCTCTTCCCCCGTACGTGCTCTTTCAGTCTCAACTTGCGTAATTGTTTGCGGCTCTTTATACGTTTTGATGCATAGACACTCTGCGCATCCATGTGGTCGATCAGAGCAGTGTAACTGACCTTGCGCCCGCAGAGCCTAATCTTGTTGATATCGATATCTCTGTCAGGGTAACACCGTTTCGACGGATTTTCTCTGAGATTCCTCATTCAACGAGTTATCCACGTCTCCGGATGAGGAGAGTACGCGGTGATCATTGGGCTTGAGAAGATGTCGACTACTATCGGTAGCCGATGCGAGAGATTAGGCCTTTTAGGGAGAGCTCTAGCGAGGATGGCCATGAAGAGAAAACCTCATCATTCTAAGGTAGAGTTGAAATAGATGTACAGCGGCAATGAGATGAGAGAGGTGAACAGGTGAAACATGGCGAATTTTTAGGTATTGATGTGCTGCACTGAGTGACCCGTGTCCTCGTCGCAACCATAATTCGTTATACTTGCTGCCTTTGCGCAACCACAATTGACCTAGCTGTTACACCCAATGGGCGTATGCCCAATTGAGAAATTACCATGCATCACTCGATGACCCTCTTTAGGTTCGAAAGTGGGGGTTCGCTTACAGACATCTTACAGCTACAAGCCCAAGGTTCCAGCATATGCCCTTCGTTTAAGTCATTGTTCTGACTATGAAGTCATTTTTATACCCAATTCTAGCAGGTTGGGGTGTAGCCTGCCATTCGCTTCAATGAAATGAGAGTTTGATACACTAAAGGCAAATCGGAAATAGTAAACTCAACTCATATGGTATTATGGTAAACGAAGTCGAAACTGCCTGTTGAAAAAGCTGAGAGATAGCTTAGAACATTGTGGGCTACCTGTCATTAGAGCTTTTTTAAATGTATCCTAACAGGGCGAGTGGTACGACAAAAACTGGCCCGGGACAGCTAAAGAGCTGTCCATGATAAAGTACGCTCCGCGATCTGCTCTCGGAGTCAGTCATACGTCAACCGTCTGCGAATGTTTGTGACCTAGCTATTCAACCTGAGAGTGCTGCCCGGCTAGGCTAGAGCAGAGGAGACCCTGTTTAGGATCATATTGCAAACATATTACTGTCTCAGATGACCTTTTGTGATACAATTTTGGTACCTGTGGTGTGAAGCAGACTCGTTTTTCGACTCATTACATGTCTCGCTGCATGATTGTTTGCGAACTGTCATTACAGCGAACTGTAGGCGGCAGGCGGATAGCGACATCTGTAAAAGTAGAAGTTATTGGGGTAGTCTGTCAGGTAGAGAAATCATCTGATGTAGAGGTGAAACAGCACAAAGTTCTTTGGCCAGGTTGGCAGTAGCAAGCTGAGATCGATTGCGCCTGCTTCTGCACACAAGAATCAAGGAGGGATTTCCTTCCCATCCCAGTCCCAACACTTTCCTCGTCCTTCAACTCCCACTTGCTTGATGACATCAATAAGTCTTTCGGCAACCCACTCGCGCTCAAACAGCTTCTCCTTTTTGACGTTCGCCCAAAAATCTTTGCTCAAACCAGTCTTGACGGTACCTGGATGTAAAGCTAATGCCATTGCATTCTCTCCAGATGCAGTACGAAGATGATTATCAAATGTTTTTACTGTTTGGTTGACACCTGCTTTAGATGCACGGTAACTGTACCATCCTCCGAGACGGTTGTCACTGATGCTACCAACACGAGCTGACATGATGGCCATCGTAGCGATGCTTGGTAACCCCTCCATTTCTGCTTGCTCTCTATCAATGGTTTGAGACTTTCTCGGCAAGAAGGACGAGAAGTGTTTGAGCATCAGCATTGGACCCAAAGTATTGGTTCGAAAAGTCAGCAGGGCATCATCGGCATTAATCTGGGTAGGCGATTTCTCCGGAAAGAGTATTCCAGGTACTACCAACGCAAGTTGAAGTTGATTTGAGCTGCCACTGAACTGACTTTTGCATGCCGCTGCTGTATCTGCGATTGTTTGTTCATCTATACAGTCGTCAGCGGATGCTTCGAAGTAATTGTGATGTAGTTTCTAGGTACCGAGAACATCTAGTTTGAGAACGCTCAACCTTTTTTCGTCCACATCGAGACCATCAAGGAGCTCTTCCTTGATCTTATCCAAGTCCTTCCGTCCTGTCGCAACGACCGGCGCATTTGTGGTTTGCAAGATCCTTCTCGCGAGCGCAAAGCCAATGCCTCGTGAGGCTGGTGATATCAGCGACCATGGCGGCATTGTTGTACGTGTAAGGAATAAACAAAGGAGATTGCCATGATAAGAATGTTGTTTGGCTGTTAGTAAGGCTTCTGAAAGGTGGTCCACACACGATCTATGATGCCATACTTGACTTGTCGATCGGCTAGCCTGATCTAGGTAGTAAGCTAGCACAGGTAGTAGCCTCCAGCTAGAGATATGATATGATCGTCACAACAACACTTCCAACTTGTGGAAATCTTTGGTTTCTAACAAAAACAATCGGATACTATTCTTTACTTGGAATGTCATTTGTATACAGATGTTGATTTGACATGAGAAGGAAAAGCGTGCTACCCAAAATACCCCATCTACATTCATACCTCCAGTCTTTGCAACAGAGCTCTCAGGACCCAGTTTTCCATCTTGGTAGCGTCCTCGATCCTCTTCACACCTTTGTATACCCTACCTTCCAGCCGCTTTAATGTCTCGCGTGTATATGTCATACTATCTGTGCGGTCAAGTTGCTTGAGTACGAGCTTTTTCTGTTCATATGAGAGGTGTCCTGTATCTCTTCTCCGCTGGAGAAGCTCACGCAATAGCTGAGTACCCTCCGACTGTAGGCTCAACGCGTGTATTAGTGGGAAAGAAAACTTCCCCTCGTCCAAATCCTGACAAAACCCCTTCTTCTCAGCATAGTCCTTGGAACAAAGGTTCTGGTAATCGTCGCGAATCTGGTATTGTATCCCGATGAGGTTTACAAGCTCTTCGATGTCGGAGACTAGGTGCTTGTTTGACTCTTTGCTCGTCGAGCAGCTGAGAAGTAGTCGTGCGATGAGACGAAATAATCCTCCCGTCTTCTTCTTCGCCATTTCCAGATACTCGTTCTCCGATGGACAAACGCTGTTCTGGGTCCAGTAAAGGTCATAAGATTGTCCGACATGCAATTCGTCCAGTTCTTCGAGGACGATCTCGATTGCATCGGGGCCCAACTGCCGGGCTTCTTCCATCGCTCTTACAAACTCATAGCATCCTGAGTTGATTGTCTGCGCAACACCAAAAACAGCGTGCGCTGCTGGTTCGCCTCTTCGAAGGCCAGACCCGTCTTCGATGTCATCGAGTATGAGGGATGCGGAGTGGAGGCGATTGCCTATTGATTTGATGCGTGATACGGCCGCTGAAGGAACGTTGAACCAAATGGCAAAGGCATTGATAAAGGTATCCCGAGCACCTCCAGATGGTAGTGACTTGATATAGTCGACTGGCGCTTTGGCATATCTGGAGTCCAAAGACACTCTCTTTGGAGGATGAATGACGACTATCTGCTCCAACCCACGGCTTGAGGAGATTGAAGTGCGTAATGAATGAGAGAGATGGCTATTCAATGTTGATTCGGTTCTACCGGTACTCGTAAGACAGGTCTCGGCGGAAGATCTTCGTGAGTGCCCAATCGCTGAATCAGGACGTGCAACACTTGCTTGATTCGAATCATCATTCTCTCTAGGAACAAGACGTGCCTCGTAATTGATACCCAAAGTTGTTGGCATCGACTTTGCCGTCAATTCATCCTCGAGGCCAGCGTTTGGGTCATATCTGACATGAGGATTGTACCTTGGACAATTCAAATTCCAGACCATGTTTCCGCTGACCATGAATGTCAGCACATCCAAATACAAACTCAATTTTTCGGACGGGTTGTCTTTGCGCCGAAATTCTGCGCAGCTTTCAAGAAACTGATCCTCGTACTGCCGCGTCATGTTCAACACCATTTTCTTGGCAAGATCAATGCCTACATGATACCATTTCATGTGCAGCCAAACGGCGTTCTTTATCGTTTTCAGTTCTTTTGACTCTATCAACTCGAGATATTCGCGTTCGAAAGAAAAGTAATCGTTGGCCAGAGTGAGTGCGCGGTACCAGGGTCTACGGATGGGGTCGAGTATGGCCTCCTCTTCCTCAGTGAGTACAAGGCCCATACCAAAGAGTGCTAAAGATTCTGATAGTCTTTTCACGATATCAGCGTCTTTTTCTCCAATTTCTAGTAGTTTCTTACTATACTTACGGCGCTGAAACATCGACGACTCGAAAATCCAGATAGTCCTCTAATGAGCTGAACTCTCTGTCCTTGCTCAGAAAACTTATGGCTGCCCGTTCTCTCATCGCGCGTAGTACTCTCTCAGCGCAAGCTGGGTCTGTTGAGGTAAGTCGCATCATAATTTTCGCTTGGATCTGAGCCGTTCCGAGTACTGGATTCGTACTGTCCCACTCCTTCCATTCGGGATGACTACTATGATTGTGGTGATCCGACTTCGATTCAAAAAATCCCAAGTCAGCAATTTGGCGAGTATCAGGATAATGCTTGAGCCAGACTTACCATCTCCGGCTGCTGCAGATCGAGAATGGTATCGTATAGAAATCCATCTGTGAACATAGTAAGCCAGCTAATCAAAAATGGGTTATCCTGATTTTACTAGTAAGCAGATCAGTGGGCTTGTTACATTCGAAAACGTAAGTAATCAAACTTAAACGTTCTGGTTTCGCCAACGGCAACGCGATAGCAACGAGATTTCCATTGATCGGATTGGCGTTTCCAAAATCAACAGTTGGTCCGATATACTTGATCCAATCGGACCTTGCCTCATGACATCCTGCATTAGTTTCGGCCTCCCATTTGTGTCTTCTCACCGGGAAGTTTCTACAAAGACCATGTGTGTCGTAGTTTGAGATGGGGATTGTGTAAGAAGTCACGTCGTAGAGTAACTCTCTCGAGGTATGGCTTGACATGATGTAAAGATAATAAAACGGTACTTGTGATCTGCAGGGCCGAAAGACCAACAAGCAGTTTTGAGTTATCTGATGTAGTGCTATGGCCGACGTGAATCAGGCAGTGGACAATGAAAAAGTAGTTTAATACAAAGTAGATTCCATGGTAGAGTATGGAAGGGATATAAATACTAGACAGGTGCAGAGGCATTCCATATCTTTGGGTGGGTATCTATCTGGGCGTACCATAACATGAACTGTGGGTTCATTGGCAGATCTCAAAATGCCGTCATTCTATACCACTCATAACGTTCCCCTGAGTGCTTCTAAGTATCTCCTTGCAAAACAATATGAAATTATGATTTCTTCTATTCAGAGTGATGGATCATTTCAGGTAAAGATCACCGTGACATGCATATACTAATCTCGAGACGGCTTGGTGGAGGCATACTTCAGTAGATTAGTTTTGCGGAAGTGACTTCAGAAACCCATGTCTCGTGCATACATATACACGTGTACATGCGATTGCTGGTTTCTTTTGGAATAAGCAAAGTGTCAGGCACGTCCGGACCCTACGTTAGCTGCCGCTCACGGTGCTCCTACAAAAACTAACAAGACTACTCAGAATTAACACAACACTTATCTGAAGGGTTTGAGAAAATATTCATGCATGAGAATATCAGTGACATATTTGATATATTGTTCTGAAACTGAGTCTCATTCGGCATATGTACCTTATCAGTTATCTCACAACTATGCATCCTGTAGGCTCGATCGTGATGCCTGTTATGCAAGAATGCATAATCGCGAAGGTGAGACGCGACTTGAATTTTCTTTTATAGTTGATGGATAGCCAGATGTACACACTAGTACCTCGGGATTCTTTTCAGCTCAATGGCAAAACTGATCTTAGGTTGATGAATCGATCTATGACTAGCACTAAATAGGTTGCTATGTGGTAGCTGAAGAAGGCCAAGACAACAGATCAGCGAAGTAGCATCCACACCCTTCAATAGAGTGCATGCAGTGGATAATTATTGACTGCTTGGAAGACAACTGTAAAATTAACTAGCCGTGTTTGAGGAAGACATCATCTGATACATTGTGAAGCCGATGCGCTGTGAGTTAATCAGCAATAAAATGGCAAGGTAGTCTCGATTATCTAGAAATGAAAGATGAATCAATGGTGCTACAGAGACGGCGTGGACAATGTTATCTATAGTTGCCGATAATATTAAGGCTGGGGAGACAAAATACACCCCCGTCTTCAGACTTCACACTCACCAGAAGCGTGGACATCCACGTGGAAAAACAGCAACCGATGGTGCCAGCACTCAATGGCGATCGCCGCGTGTAATGATACAGTAGATTTTTCCGTCAGATGCATCAAAGTTCATCATAGATGGTCACTCAGAATCATAGTAGCTTCAAGAGGTTTCCTGGTGAAGCCGACTATTAATGCGCTGGCAAGGCCATTGCTCCCTGACAGGCGCTGCACTACTGGATCGACATGGACACGTGAAGCAAAGAGGTGTTTGCTTTTTTTGTAATATCCAAAGGAAACAAAGACGCTAAAGAAACGAGGAAATGGTTGCATGCAAACCAAACAGGAACATTTTGCGATATGCCAACTGTAACTACGTAGTACGCGTACATATTCAATCGCATCTTGGGAAGATGACCCAACTAGCACCGCCACCAACACTACCATTACGTCGAGAAAACTGTACTTGATCATCTGACAACCAAAAACCCTCTTTCTCTTTTCTCTCCAATAGAAAATTGGTCAGCAAGTCTCACTACCGTCCTCGTAAATCCTATTGGCCATATCACCGCTGATTCGGAAAACGCCTTCAAAAGCAACTCTTGTATTATGTATAGGCTATACTCACTTACCAATATACGTAGTACAAAGCAACCCACCAAAGTCGCAGAACCAAATGTTTTACAAAGTAAGCCCAACAGCAACAGGCGGGACGGGGGCTGTGCGAAACGTCAGCGCGAACAAGAAAAAGAACATGTCAGCTTGGGCGGTCATGTTGAAGGACAAAAATTTCGTCCAACCATCCATCACCAAGGGCAACAGTGACATAGAAGTTTCCGCCACGCTGGTCGCCTGGAGAAATCATGAAAGCAGCATATAAAGAGAGATAGAGAGAAAAGAAAAGAAAAGAAAAGAACAAAAGAACCAATTCCTCGTTCTAACTTGCAAATACCCCCTCATTCTACAACCCCATAACCTCATTCTTCCTCGACAAAAGAAAAAACATCAATAACTCCTCAAAATGCACATCTCAACCCCCTTCGCCACCCTCTTCCTCCTCGCCACCTCGACCTACGCTTACGACTCCATCTCCTTCACCACCTGGAACTGCACAGACTGCAACCCCGTCCCCGGCACCTTCTGCTCCGTCAACACGCGCACCCAGCTCCCTCCAAACAACTGCATCCCAATGTGGAGCGGAAGCACGTACATTCGGACGTTTGATGCGACGGCTCCGTCATGCCAAGGTAAGTTGTATCCTTGTATTATGAGTGAGATTATGATAGGAAGGGAAGGGGCTGATGAGTGTGTGGACAGTGAATCTTTATCTTGCGGCAGATTGCTCGGGTCCGGCGGAAGTGCATAGGGAGAATGGCGGGAGGTGCGAACCGAAGGGGCCGACGAATTCTTTTCAGATTACTTGTTAAGTGAGTGTGGTACCGCTTTTCTGGTGGACTGCGAATGGGCAAGTGAATACATGTAACAACTGCTGTTTGCGAGAAGACCGACTCGAGTAGCGAGAAGAGAACCGTTGGATTGCTAGTTCAACACATGGTATCAGCGTAACCCTTCTCACTACTCGATAAATACTTCTATATTGAAATGTAATAAAACGGGCGTCTCTAATCCATTTCTTCACCCCTCCACCCCCCATATATACACTCCCATGCCAATCCGAACCTACGCATTAGCAGTCTTATCGTTGTAATAATGAATCGTCTGATCCGCACATCCACTCGGCGTCTGATACAAGTAATTGCCCAAATTAATATACAACTTCTGGCCCGTACACACATACCACGCGCTCTTGTTTGGCCGCGTGACGTCCGTGCTGCTCCATTGGAGGTCGTCGCCGCCCCATGCAAACGTGCCGTACGTGTTCTTGGTCTCGGAAAAGGTGACGGCGAGAGACATGTTGTTGATGACACGCTCGGGGGATACGTTGGCGTAGAGGAGCTTGACGGGGGCGCCGGGTGCGGAGACGAGTTGAACTAGTTGGCCGGATACGACTTGGAGCTGGCCGGCGGTGGTGTGGTCGCCGAGGAGGGCGGGGCCCGTGGAGTAAAGTGGGTTGGTTTGGATGTACTTGTGGAAGTTGGGGGCCGCGACGGCGCGGATCCAGTAGTAGCCTGCTTGGAGGGTTGTGCCGGGTCCGGTACCGCCTGGAACGCTACTGGCGGCTGGTTCGCTTGGAGTTGAGTTGCTTGGAGCTGATGGGGTGGGTGTGGGTGTCGGTTCTGGGTTGGGTGCTGGTGCTGCTCCGGGCTGGCACTGGGAGTAGTATTCACTGGATATGATTAGGAATTGCTAGCAGGTGTTTTTGTAAATAGATGTTGTACTTTATCTGGACACATCCAGAACCAGAGTTGCATGTTGTTTGACCACTCCAACCAATACCACCGCCTGCGTTGAAATTAGCCCAGGTACTAGAATGGATGTACAGAACATACATTGCTGCCAGTCACCAACAGCGGCAGACGTGGTGCCGGCTAGTAAAGCCAGAAAAGTAGTTGTTGTATAATGCATCTTGGGCCCTTCAATCACAAGTCGACAGTAATCCAGAGAAACACAAGGTATTCCTTGTCCGGCAGCCGTGAACCATATTGTAGGAACCAACCATGATATTTATACTACAGCACGTTTCATCTGGCTCAGATGAGCACCATGTGATGCCAACTAACAACGTCCGTACGCTTTATACATCGGACCGTGGTCGCCGCGTAAAGTGGATAAAGTACCCCCCATGTCCGCAACACAAGGCCGGAAGCCGAGGAAAACACTGGGGCAGCAATATGCTTGCGCAGGCTTAAATTGCTTGATTAAAAACAATTAAACTTTACTGGCGCATCTTCCAGATCTGGCGATAGCGAGTGATGCAGAGAAGGACCCAAGCGAAGTTTCCAAAACCGGGTACAATTTAGGTGATTCAAGTCAGCGACCTAAGATCGTATGTGGATGTCACCGAAATTGGAGTGTAGCCTTGTGACCAGGTGCGCGGGTACGGGCGACTGCCATCGTGCAGGCCTCTGGTACCGGTCCAGAGAGATGGATACGTTTCTCTGGCATGACCATCGAATCTAGCGCTTCCGTCTGATCAATGTTGCCCCCACGCAACATGCTCATTCGACGTGGATGTAGTTTTCGTCCTATCGCGTTGCGCTTTGGATGGTCGGTGACATGTACAGCCACCCACAAAACCCAACAACCAACACCGCAGAACCGCATCACGACACCTCAGCAACACCAGTAATCGGTTCGGGTCTGGCCGAAAAAACAACCCGATACCTTACTACCTCCACAATCTCCAGCTCCTCCTCTTTTCCCCCATTCCCCTCACCCTCCGCCTCTGTTCCTCCCATATCCACATCCTCTCCACCCTCCCTCACCCTCTTACGCAGCACGGCAATCGGATTTGGCAACTTTTTACACTCGCCTGTCATCCGTTGTCCCTTGCCGATATACATGTACACGCGCTTCATCCATTTGGTGTCACTCGGGTCGTTGATGTCTGGGTTGTAGTGGGGAAACACGAGTTTGCCGATTTGAGTGGAGGGTTGAGAGGAGGTGGGTGCTGGAAAATGGACTGTGCCTTGAATTTCGAGGAGGGCTAAGCCGGAGGGTGTATGGAGGATTTGGGGGAGAGGGTTTTCGGTGGGGAGTGGAGTTGGTGGGGAGGGGGCGATGCGTATGGGTATTGACGGCATTGTGGTGTATTTAACAGTTCGTACGAAATGGTTGTGTTTGTGAAGCGGCGATGGGAGGAATTTTGGCGACACTTTGCAGACGCGACGCGCCAAAGCTTTGGTGGGGCAGTTGGATGGTGGGGGTTTAGTACTAGCCTCACTACATACTACAACTTTGCCATGTCTTGCTACCATGTGTTAATCATGGTCAAGTGAAAATCAAGGAAATAAAACTCTTAGAGCATGATTAAAATGAAGAATATCTACCAAGATAGGAAAAAGCCATGAGAACCTTTTCTTTTCCCCTTTAACACTACAAGCATCTCTTTATCTTCTACACACTACTCATCATGCCCATGACCATTTGGTTACATCATGACACATATTTCATACCAGCCCATTAAATACCTCACATTGAACATATTACCAAGAGCATAACCACAATCACAATCAAACCCGCAATATTAAACGATGCCTACATTGGCTGCCTCCTGCCTCCCACCTCCACACCGTCCATGTGTTGAACATGAACAAAATGTAAAGCCCGAAGACTAGAGACCAGAGTATATAGCATCTACCCTAAACCTTCAATGTAGTAAAGGCCGTCCCCTTCCAATTCCCTTATTGCCTCCAAATGCTGTTGCCAGCCCCCCATCTACACCATCTATTACTAGGTGTCTAAAGGTAAAAAGGGTTGCTTAAAAGCAAACAGCCTTATACGAGAACTTGGCCGAAACATCAACACAGCCGCTAGGAACAGTGTTGATGATGTCAGATGGGGTGCCAGAGCAGTCGCTTGAGGTAAAGAACTGGACTATTTTGTTTCCCAATCATGTTAGCTCTGTGTTTCCTCCTGTAGGAAGGGGAAAGGAGAGAAAGGGGAAACGTACGCTGGCAGTTCGCCCTTGTCTTCTCCAAGAAGAAGACCTTTGCGCTCTGCAGAGGCAAGAAGTTGCACACGTTGCTGTTAATGTTTTGCTGCTGAACAGCTTGAGGCTGGCAGCCTGGGCCGGCGTAGGCCTCGACTGTTTCGTCGTGTCAGTACACTTGCTTCGACTCTCCCAAAGTCACTCAAGGAGGCAACCAAGGAAGGGGGCAAAGGGAAGAGAAGGACGAACAAGATGCAACATTCTCCAATTGAATCTGCGCAGAGGCAGACGAAGCCATAAGGGCGAGAGCAGCGATGGTGGTGGAGAAAAGCATTTTTGCGGTTTGGAGTTGGTATCGAAACTGATTCGGTGATTGAGATGTTTGGAATGAGATTTGCGTCTGTAGTGCTTCCATCTTCTCCTCGTCCTCTCTCCCCCTTTTATATCCTAATCTCTACACCTAAACCGTCCCCATTCGCCTTCTCTCAGTTTTTTTTGCCTCCAGACCACCGTCGCCCTCGGCCATCGGCCTGCCAACAAACACTCCCAACAGTGGCGTCCAGGCGGTGAATAGCAGCACGGACTCCCCATGTTCCTCATCACAGCAGCAAAAATCTGATGGGCTTGCAAAACTCAGTTGATCACATCTCCAACGAGCCAGTGTCGGTTCGTCGCGGAATAGCACTCGTGTTGGTTCGGTGCGTGGGGAAGTCGTTGTTTGCGAATCGCCTGACGGGCTTGTGGTTTTGGGCTTGTGGTTTTGAGCTTGTAAGCGGACCTTGTAACCAACCAGGTTACTGGGAGAAGCGTCCTTGAATGTGCTGGTCTAAGCTTATGAGGATGTGGAAAATGGTTCATGGATGCGAGCTTCATTGGTGTTGGCCACAAGCGACGAGGCCGACCACCCGGTCCGTAGTTGCTATACTTCGGCCTGGAGGTGAAAGTTGCCGAATGAGGAGAGTGGGGGGGATGCCATGTTTGCTGAGAGGCGTTTCTTGTAAGCCAAGCCCTCAGCTGCGATGACTGCGTGGTGGGATCTGTGGTATGCGGGGGAGGCGTGAGTGAATTGATGGGAATCTTGCCTTGTAGGTGTTTATCAAGGATGGGTGGCTGATAAGATTGAGTCTCGTGGATACTCAGCGTTACAGTAACTCAGAGTCGTGACCTACCAAATACAACCTGATGTAAAAGAGGTCCTGTTTAAGCATCGAGAAACACGGACGCACAGTTCCCGCGCGGAGTCTACCCGGATTTACCAAACAAGGCGTAATACGCTGCAGCCTAGCAAGAATTCGTGCATACATGGCATGCCACGTTGGGGTAGTATCTGACATAGGTCGTACTTGCATGCACCAATGAGACGGGAACACCCGGCTGACGGATCTGGCTTCAAGGCTAATGCAAAAGATTGTTGGATTATATCCCGAAGGGAGAGAATGTGAGCAGATGCTCACACTCGATCTCACCTAGATTTAACGTAAGAGGCCTTGCACCCACATTCCTTTCTAGTCTTTCCCAGCCCCATAGTCATCTCATTCGTAACTTTTCAGTAATGTGTCATATCGCGTAAAAGAAACAGCCGCCCTGATGGTCAGTGGCCCACTGAAAACCACAAAGATATTTACCCCTGTGCCAGCACCATCTAGTTGAAGTCGTTCATGTTGTGTAGGCTGATATCTTGACTGCTGGTAACACGCCGCTCTTCGCCGTTGCTGTTCGTCAAGCCGTCAGGCCTAGAACCATTGTTTCCATTGACCAGCTGCCCATCGGGTGATTCAGCGCCACCTTCTGCCGGGATGACATTTCCATGTTGGTCAACTTCCTGTAATACTCGTTAGTCAAACGCAATACTTTGGGTTAGGAGTTTAGTTGAGACTTACGACACCCTTGGCGGCCATGCGCACCTGCTGCGGATTTGCCGTACCGTGGACAACCGCCTCACGTGCTTTCTCCATGACCTTTTGTTTTCGGCTCTCTCCTCGCACCTTTTCGAGATGCTCAAAGTAGCCATCGTCCACAGGTGTGACGTACTTGCCACAGAAAACGCCCACCTCGAACTTTTGAGTCGCGGGATCGCGTGGTGAAAGGCGCGCGCATGCACTTTCCAAATCCTCAAGCTTTTGGTAGACAACATCGTCAGCGCCAATGTGCTTAGCAATAGCTGCTGAGTCACGGTGGTGGGCAATAAGCTCAGAGGAAGAGGCCAAATCGATACCGTAGATGTGAGCGTTGGTGATGGGCGGTGCACATGATGTGAAGTATACCTTCTTCGCTCCAGCCTCGCGCGCCATCAATACAATCTCACGCGACGTTGTACCGCGGACAATCGAGTCGTCGACAAGCAAGACGTTCTTACCGTCAAACTTCTTCTTCATTGGGTTGAGTTTCGCCCGGACGCCCTTTTGCCGTAGCTTTTGCGATGGCATAATGAACGTGCGGAAGATATAGCGGTTTTTGACAAAGCCTTGTACATACGGCTTTTCGAGGGCTTCAGCGACACAGAGAGCTGACGTGATGGAAGTCTCTGGAATCGGCATCACGACATCAATCTCGGCCATCTTTTCGGGACCCAGTTGCTTCTTGATCGTCTCGGCGAGCGTAAAGCCCATGTTGCGTCGACTTTCATCCACATCGATACCATCAATGACTGAGTCTGGTCGGGCAAAGTAAACGTATTCGAAGATATCAGGGGTATACGCTTCTTGCTTAGCGACCTGTCGGAAGACCGGCTCCTTGCCCTTCTCGATGATGACAGCCTGGCCGGGCAGAATGTCCTGAAAGTCCTTGTAGCCACACTGGACCAGTGCAACACTCTCAGAGGCCATCATATAGTCCATACCATGGCCGTCTTGCGAGCGCCGAGATCCAAGGACCATGGGGCGAATACCATATGGGTCGCGGAACCCAATAAGACCGAATCCTAAAGATAATCAGCATGTTTCATGTGCTCACTCCGAATTCGTCTACATACCAGCAAGCATAGCTGTACACGCCCATCCACCAGTGCAGAGCTTGTACATCCTCTCAAGCGCAGCAAAGCAGTCATCGGCGTTGATACGTGCCTTGCCAGTCTCGTTGAGCTCATCGGCGAAAATGTTCAACATGAGCTCACTATCGCTCTCCGTGTTGATGTGCCTGTGGGCCTCGTGGTCGAGTCGCTGGCGCAGCGCGGGGGCGTTGATGAGGTTACCATTGTGGGTCATGCAGATACCGTACGGGCTGTTGACGTAAAAAGGTTGGGCCTCAGAGTTTGCGCTGCTGCCAGCTGTGGGGTATCGCAAATGGCCGAGACCCATGAAGCCGGGCAGATCGGAAACACGAGCACCATCCTGGAAGACCTTGGAGGCCATGCCATTGCCCTTGCACTGGTGGAAACGACCGCCAGCGCTGCAGCTGACTATACCGGCAGCATCTTGTCCGCGGTGTTGGAGGAGGTAGAGGGCATCGTGGACCTCTACCGAAGCGGATTGCGACTTGGGGTCGCCGTGGATAACGGCAATGATACCACACATTTTGACGTGGTGCTGAGTCTAAGGATGTTCGAGGTATGTACTTGTAGTTTTGTACTAGGACGCGTCAGTTGCGCTATTTCTTCGGATAAAGCGGAAGAAAAAGTGAAGGCGGGGTTTGTCTCTCAGCAAGTCCTGGTGCGCTCATGGGTGATCGCAAGTCTAACATCTTTTATAATAATGACGAGATCATCATAGTGACAGGTATGAAATGGAGGAAATATTGCAACTACGTACCCTGGATATCCTCGTACACGGCTGTGCAGAAACTCGGTTCGCAAGTGGCCTCTCCAAAAGTGGGATATAATCGTATGGATAGGCTCCCGTCGAGAAAACGCGTCTCACGAAGTCACTATGTACAGAAAGATCCGGGGACTCTGGCAGCTGGATGATCAATGGGGCCGTTTTCGTCGTCTGCGAGGTATCTTCGCGGGTCTCTGGTCCCGTTTGGTGCTGATGATGGCGTACGAGCTCATGGTTATTGGAAAGTAAGAGCGCTCTAGTGGGGAAAGGGCAGCATGATAAACAATTTTTTTTCGCTCGCCGCACTTGCACTTCCGCACTTTCGGCCTTGGCGGCAACCACACACGCCCAGAACCCCACACTGCGACTGAACTGTACCACGACGTACAAGACTGCGGACAGACAATATGCACTGGCCAGAGGAACACATATTATAGCACATGCGCACATCTTGTGACGCCTTTGCTGCCTTCCTATTGTTCCCCCTCTTTTGTCTGACGGTAGCCTTCGGAAAAAGATTTTCTTTAGGGCATAGACTGCCGCGTCCAGTCATCTGAGCCGCAAACGGTTTAATATGGCATTCCGCGGCGGACCAAGTACACGCAGCACGTGACATTTTACATGGAGGTGTTCGCAGCCCAGCCGCATCTACTATCTGTGCATCATGTTTTTGACTGGACTCAGGGACATATTCGAGAGCGACTCAAGTTCCACGTCCAGAAAATGTAAAGCAAGCACAAATATACGTAGAGACGCCGATCTAGTGCATTGTGTTCGAATCAAGTAACAATTCTTGGACGGTTGAGGAATGTCCGTTGAGATGCCATGGTAACATGGATAGAAGAGGCTTTGCGAGAACAATAAGTTTTGTTAGATTGTAGTAACGACTATACTAGGTCGCTGACTTTTCCGAGACGTCGGGCCTATCAGGCTCGTAATTTGTCTCGCCCAGCGACTGTGATGGCCCAGACACTGAAACAGCGGCTGGCGCAGCAGCACTTGGTCCCCGGGATGCTGCAGCATTTAGCCTTTGGTTCAATGCCTCGAGAGCCAATGCTCTCCTCCTCTCTGCCTCGGCGCGTGTTGCCCCACCACGGCCGCCACGGCTGTTGGGGTTCATGATACTGGGGAGGCCACCTTCGGCACGAGCGGTGGCCTGTTCGTTACCCGCATCAATGTCCCGATCAGAAAAGGGTGTGCAGACCTGGAGAGACACCAATGTGTTGTAGACGCCGTCTGCAAAGGCGCCGAGGGGTGTTTGTATTGGCTCTGGGAAGAAATGCGCAAAGCTAAAAGTGTCGGAGGCATCTCCACGAATGAAGGAACCTTCGCCCGTAGCAGTGGAAGAGAGCGATGGACTGATGCGATAAAAGCGGAGGTAGATCCATGCTGTCATGAAGCCAAAATATGCGAGGTACATGGCCGTCTCTGTGCCGATTATAATGCCAGAGAGGGTATTTGTGAGCAGGAAGATAGCGGGGAAGTGCTTGACGCGCATGCGGATGAGGCCTTTGGCAATGGCTACCGTGTGTTCGGGAACGAGCTGCTTAAAAGAGACGAGGAAGCCGGCCTGGATGGCAATGCCACCGGAGATTGTGGTTTTCCTGAGCCGGGTCAGTGCAAGGTCTATGAAGAAGACGAGATGGAAGCATACATGAGAAAGCCCTTGCGCATAAGGAGATAGCCAAGGACGTAGAGCAGATAAGTCAGGAGGTTCGGAATAACGGCGACAAACAGCATGAACTTTGTGAACTCATGCGACCCCCATGCCCTCTCGAGGTAGCGACCGCCATAGAAGACAGTCAGGCCGGTGGTGATGAGGCCGAGGAGGTTCTGCTCGACGACCGTGGCGAGAGCGAATGTCCAGGGATACCACGGCACAGAGAGACGGGGTACAATGGTCAGCCATGGCACTCCGTTGCCCACGCCGATAATGGGCTTCTCGACCTTTTCCACCCAATTGGCGTTGGGACGCAGGCCAAAGTTGAGCAGGGTGAGCAGGATGAGGGCAGCGAGGATGCCACGGGTAAGGGGCGGGAGGTTGATGCGGGCCATGGCGGCAGCAGCTGCGGCGGCGGCGGCGCGTTGTCGAGGAGGAGCAGCGTAGGCGTGGTGGTGGTGACGGTGAGGTGTGGCGGTGGTGTGGTGGTGGTCACAATCAAGCTGGGCGGTGCTGCAGTGCCGGGCAGGGATGTGCGGTGGTGTGGGGGGACTGGATGGGGACTAGCCAGGCTCCGGCCGAACATGTGCGTTGCCCTACAAGACTAGCAGTCCATAGGCGACATGGCAGGCATTGTCAATCATCGAAGCTCCTCACATTCCAAACCGCCTGCCACCACCACCACTTTGGTCTCCCTCCCCCCCTCCCCCACGCCCCCCAGCCAAGGCGCATGCAGCGCTCGCATAATGCGCCATGGCGGAGACTCTCAGCAGTAACGCGATCAACTATCTCGGTACCTATTCCCCGCCAAAACCCGCCCCAGTGGCCTGTCTCTCTGACGCGTGGTCTAGTATGGCGATATCTTCAAGAAGCCGGATTTGGTAATGCCGCCCTCCACCTGTCGCGATGCTGGCTTCGGGACCCGGACACGCTTCCGTTTGCTGCCAACATCGAGCCCCACGCCCTCGTCCGCCTCGTCCAGGATGGCTTGTGCTTCGACCAGCTGCGCGCGGAGGCCTGCAACGTACGTCGCCTCTACTATGCTCCGCTCCATCAAATGCGCCTGGGCTAACTGTACCAGACGGAACCGCGATACAGGTTCGGCTCCGACCACGGCCGCCCCTACACGCGCAACGGCAGCCTGCTGACCCTCGACAAGGGCATTCCCGCCCACGAACTCGCGACCGAGGCCAACGGCGCCGTCCAGGAGCCCCCGCCTAAGAAGACGCTCAAGCGCAAAAAGGCAAAGACTGCCAATGGCGTCGACACGCGCCCAGAGCCCCAGTCTAACGGCGATGCCATGGACATTGAGCACAACGGCGCGCCCCATCACGTTCCAAACAGCCTGAGGGCAGACTCCGAGCCTGTCGTGTCCGAGGCCGAGTCGCTTACTGTCGCAGAAATACCGCTGTCCACACTCAGCATCGGCCAGGATGCCGAGATCCAGACAGATGCTATCGCCGTCGCAGACCTGACCCCCGGCACTGTCTTTGTCCCCCGTCACGCCAACCCTGACAAAATCGTCCAGCACACGCTATGGGGGCCAATCGAGTCGCCTGTTTTGCTTGCTGCCGGAAAGTCGCTCCTCCAGGTCCACGTTGTTAGCAAGCCTGCCAGTAACGAACAGTCCCCGCCTATTCACACCCTAGACATGTCCCTGCCAGTCCAAAATTTCGACGTGACTGCGCTGTGCTGGCATTCTGAGCACGAGCTGACCGTTTCCGCGCGCGAGCAGTGTGTCAATGAGGTGGGCGAGAAGATGATGATGGATAAGCTCATCAAGCTGACCGAAGGCGGCACCACCTCCAACGTCATCTCCTCGACGGCCGGTCTCATTAATACGCTTCGCTGGAACCCCAAGTGCAAGCTTCTATTGTCCATTTCAACAGACGGAGAAAAGGGGTCCATCAAAGTGTGGAAGAATGACAGCGATTCCATCCCGGCGTGGACCGAGTTCACTGACACAGCTATTTTGGATGCCCAATGGATCAGCGACTCGGCCTTTGTCGTTTGCGGCATCAAGCTGTTCAAGATATATGAAGTCACCGACGCTCTGACAACCCAGCGAACATTGGACACTCACATACAATGGGAAACTGTTAAGCACGACCCGGCGTCTGGTATCATAGCCGTGCTTGGAATCGAAGACCAGAAGAACTACCTGGGTATCCTTCACCCCAATGACTCGATTCAGCTACAAACCCACGAATATCCAGACGAATACGCTACCGACTTTGCATTCCGCCCGAGTCCAGCCACCAAACAACTGACAAATGGTTCCGCTCTGCCCTCGGTGTTACTTGCAACAAGCTCCATGTCCGGCGCAGCACGGATATGGGATGCAAACGAGCCATTCAAATGCGTCAAATCTCTTCCCACGACGGATGGTACCCAGGCCTTCAAGATTGCCTTCTCGCCGGATGGGGTGTTGTTGGCTGCAGCAGGCCCCGATGCCGTCACTGTATGGGATGCAGAAAAAAGAGACGTCCCAGTAGCAACGTGGCGGGCTAGTGAGTGGCCAAGCGACAAATGGAACCCTGGAATAGATGGCGAGTTCAGTCTTGGTTGGGACCCAGACAGCTCCCGGCTGTCAATCGCTCTTGGAAACCAGGTATGTCAGGCGTCCCGAAGTTGATTGCGCTCATGCACTAATGTCGTCTTCACAGATTGCAATCATCACAGTACCTAGGTAGTCTCACCTACCGATGCACGAATAGTACCAACTGCACCCCCCACGGTGCACAAACTTTAGTCTGCGGGGAAAGCATATCCGCATTATCGCAGAGTATCGGCTCTATTGCACGTAGAAGAATCCGAACCATTTACTGGGCTTGCTACGGAGACATCACTCCGTGGTCGCAAAATCACGAGAAGCCCATAGCGGGGCCGTGTGTGTGTGGAGTTGTGGAGTCAAGGCAAGGAATAGAGGGGGTGGCGCCTCCGCCGGCTGCCGAGGCCTTCGTATCGTGATAGGCTGAACGTGCCAGCCTAGTCAATCTACCGCATCTGGTACCGGATACTAGCCTGGATCCACACTTGACGTCTTCACATAACGTTGGGGGTCCATTGCTTCGGCACTTGTATGAGGCAGTCAGCCAGCCGCGGCGCCACAAGCATGAGAACTGCAGTCCGCCACCCAAAAAGCGCTGCCGTTTCCGTCTTTCTTTCTTTCATCCATCCTTCATGCCATCTATGTCTTCGATATACCTACTAATTGTATACTATACTATCTCACACCACTCATCTTGAAGAATAGAGCTTTGGACACGGGCCGCATAACCATCTCTGACGGCACCTCACCTTCCATCTATAATTGACTCCCGAGGTTATTCATACAATGTCGGCGATACCAAATCTACCCATAGATGAGCTACCGATGATGCAATTCAATGGTCAAGTAAATGGCGTCACTGCACAAACACCTTTCAAGCTCCACGATGCGCCCGTAGAGAACTTGCGTCGATTAAAGGTCATCGTCATCGGTGCAGGTTACTCTGGCATCTATTGCGGAATTCGCATACCTGAGAGATTGAGAAATGTTGAACTAGTGATCTACGAGAAGAATGCTGGGGTTGGGGGAACTTGGTATGAAAACAGGTAAACAAGATGCCCCCTCCCTTCAACTCCAGCGTCTTACTGGCTTTTATCGAACAATGAGACTGGGTCCGACTTGATGCCCAAAAAGAGCATTTGATCACTAATGCGAACGCAGATACTTGGGCTGCGCGTGCGATATACCTTGTGAGTCTTGCCACCTCGGACATCAAAATCGTTGAAGTGGTGCTAATCTTCTCGCTAGCGCACTCATACCAGTATTCTTTCCAGCCAAACCCAAATTGGTCATCCTTGTACGCGCCAGCGGCAGAGATTCAATCCTATCTCCAAGATGTAGCGCAAAAATATTCTGCGGATCGCTTCATCAAGCTGCGCCATCAGGTCGACGGTTGTCACTGGGATGACAAGACGGCCAAATGGAACGTCACAGTAAAGAACCTGGCGACAGGAGATACCATCCATGATCAGGCAGATGTGGTGATTTCTGCAAGGGGTGGCTTGAATATCCCGTCCTGGCCGGATATTGATGGTTTAGAGACTTTCAAAGGCGAAGTCATGCACTCCGCCGCGTGGAAAGAAGAGTAAGATATACCTTGGATCGCGTATTGACCTCCAATCGACTGACACAGGGAAATAGCTATGAATTTGAAAATAAGCGCGTTGGAGTAATCGGCTCAGGCTCATCTTCCATCCAGATTGTACCCAATCTTCAGCGTCTACCAGGCACACACGTCAGCACATTCGTGCGCAGTAAGACGTGGATCTCCCCACCTTTTAGCTACTCACTCTGGGATAAGTATGGCTTTCAAGGGACGGCTATTCCCAAAGAGCTTCGTGACCGCTTCGCCAATGATCCGGAATACTATCACGAGTTCAGGCTCGCAGTCGAAGAAGATGGAAACGGGATCCATGCCTTTACCCAGAAAGGAACGCCTCTTCAATCAGGCGCCAAGGAGATGTTCCATCAAAACATGAAGGAGAGGCTGAAGGGCCACCCTGAAATCTTTGAGGCGCTTTTGCCTTCGTTCGCGCCTGGGTGTCGTCGTCTGACACCTGGCCCGGGATATCTCGAAGCCCTCACGCAGCCAAACGTTGATTTTGTCACGTCCCCTATAACTCGCATTTCAGAATCGGCCATTCACACTGCTGACGGCAAGGCGTATGAGATTGATGCTCTTGTGTGTGCCACTGGCTTTGTATCTTCTGCACCACCTCCGTTTCCGCTCACCGGTAGTGGTGGGCTAACCATGACAGAAAAGTGGAAAGATCGCGCTGTAGCATATCTTTCGCATTCAGTCGCTGGATTTCCCAACCTCTTCAGCATGCTTGGCCCTAATTCGGCCGTTGGGACCGGTAGCTTGACAATGATGATAGAGACAATGGGCGATTATATCATCAAAGCCATTCGCAAGATTCAGAAAGACAACATCGCGTCCATGGTTGCCAAAGAGGCACGAGAAAAGGACTTTATCGAGTACGTTGACGCGTACTTTGAGAAGACAGTCTTTGTCGACGAGTGCAGAAGTTGGTACAAGAACAAGGGTACCGGGGAGATTGTGGGTCTCTGGCCAGGAAGCACGTTACACTGCATCGAGGCGATGCAGAGTCCGCGATGGGAAGACTTTGACTATGTCTATCTGGCCGAGCTGGATGACCATGACACTGATAGCAAACTGAAAGGTGTAGGCAGAAATTCGAACAGATTGGCCTGGCTAGGCAATGGCATGAGTGTCAAGGAACAAAAAGAGCAGGATCTGGCCTGGTACTTGTATCCGGAATTCGTTAGCAAGCCCGCTGCGCCGTACCCGGAGAAGAACAAGATCTATGACATACGTCCGTTTTCGTACTAAGCGAGAGGGATATTTCTATAGTTGATGCAGTCTGTAGCAAGCCCCTGAATCACAAGAAAAACGAATGTGTGTGGTCTGTAATGTGGCACAGTGGAGCCGACTCCAGCCGTTCATGTGAAAGGATCCCGTTCCCCAGCTTCCAGTTTTGTGGGGTAGCCGAGGCACCGGTTCACATGCCGCAAGCTGCATGTGCGACACCGACAACGACATCCTCTCCCGAGCACATCAACCTTGTGACCCTTGCTTTCCCCAACAAACCCCCGAGACGCAAGATTCTCCAGTCATCTGCGCAAAGGCGTGCTGTGTCCTCGACGTGCCATCCATACAACAGACCACCGTCGTAACCTCCCCGCCTCAAGCGCGTCCCTACAGCGTGCGCTCAGGCGACTAACCCTAAGCACCACCAATGCCTCCCTCACGATAGCCATGGCCGTCTTCTCGAAACCCATATCCTCCCACCGCCTCAACAGCGCCTCGGCCAAGGCCATCGTGGCCGACCTTACGCGGCTCTACCTGCAACACCGAACACGCATATCGCGCGCCGTCTACCTTACCTTGTTCGTAGCTCTAATAAACCGCATTCGGAATGCTATTGCCGAGCAGAAAGCTGCTGCTCTGCGTAGGGCCTCAAAAGGCGCAAGCAAGACGCCGGCAGGCGAGGGCGAAACTTCGGGGAGGAAGAAAGTTGAGCTGAATCGCGAGTTTTTTAAAAACCTGCTTCGGCTGTTACGGATATGTATACCTGGATGGAAGAGCAAAGAATTCCGGCTCGTCATCGGGCATAGTGTCTTCTTGGTGCTACGGACAATGATCAGCTTGTACGTTGCTGAGTTGGATGGACGACTGGTTAGTGCACTTGTGAGGGGAAAAGGGAGAGAGTTCTTGATGGGTTTGGTGTGGTGGATGGCTGTTGCTGTGCCGGCGACATTTACGAACAGCATGGTATGTGACACCTGCGCTCTTGGCCGGCGCCAAAATCAGGACATACGATGAGTGCTGACAAGGCAAACAGCTGTCATATCACCAGTGCAAACTTTCTCTGCAATACCGGACTCGACTCACGAACTACATCCATTCCAAGTACCTCTCGCAAATGACGTTTTACACGCTAAGCGCCCTCGACGACCGCATCGCAAACGCCGACCAGCTGATTACCGTCGATGTAGCCAAATTCTCCAACTCCCTCGCAGAACTGTATTCAAATCTTGCGAAACCCGTTCTTGACATCATTATCTACAACTACTCGCTTTCACGAAGCGTCGGCGGCGAAGGTCTATTTTTCATGTCACTTTTGGTGCAGATATCGGCAAACGTCATGAGGGCACTGACTCCGCCGTTTGGCAAGTACGTGGCAGACGAGGCGAGACTAGAGGGAGAATTTAGATTCCAGCATTCTAGACTGATTGATTGGAGTGAGGAAGTGGCGCTCTACGGAGGGCATGAGGCGGAGAAGGACACGCTCGACAAGGGCTATTTTACGCTGATCAAGCATGTAAACCGGATACTGAGACGGCGGTTCTACCATGGAATAATGGAGGACTTTGTCATCAAATATTTCTGGGGCGCTCTGGGCTTGATGCTGTGCAGTGTGCCGGTATTTTTCAAGGTACCTGGAACTGGTGGAATGAGTATGGGCGATCGCACAGAAAGTACGTATATTATTGTCACATGTTTGTCGCGGAACATGTTGGAGATTTGGCTTGCTAACGAGTGCGATGACAGATTTCGTAACCAATCGCCGCATGCTTCTCATGTCCAGCGACGCATTCGGCCGTGTCATGTTCTCGTACAAGGAGATCACCGAACTCGCAGGCTACACCTCGCGCGTCTCTACTCTCTTAGACGTCATCGACGACATCCAGGCCGGTCATTTCGAAAAGAAGCTCGTTTCCTCCGCCGACACCGAAGAAAACGCTGCCGTTCTTCGAGGCCGCGGTACTGTAACTGAAGGCGAAGACATTGAATTCGTTGATGTCCCCATCGTCTCTCCCAATGGCGACGTTCTCGTACGTGCACTGTCCTTCCACGTAAGGCCCGGCGACCATCTCCTCATTGTCGGCCCAAATGGCTGCGGCAAGAGCAGTCTTTTCCGCATCCTTGGCGGCCTATGGCCTGTCTACGGCGGCAAGGTGCGCAAACCACCATTCGAAGATATTTTCTACATCCCCCAGCGACCATATCTCTCTCGCGGTACCCTCCGACAGCAAATCATCTACCCAGACTCTCTCCACGATATGCACTCCAAGTCCATCACCGACAACCACCTCCTCTCCGTACTCGCCACGCTCAACCTCGAGTCGCTAGTCGACCGCCCCGGCGGCTTCGACGCCGAAGCTCAGTGGGAAGACGTACTTTCCGGTGGCTTGCAGCAGCGCGTCGCCATGGCCAGACTGTTCTACCACAAGCCGCGGTACGCGATTCTCGACGAGTGCACGAGCAGTGTGACGCTCGAGGTGGAGAGAATCATGTATGAAGAAGCCAAGAAACTAGGCATTACCCTCATGACTGTGTCGCACAGGCGCAGTTTGTGGAAGTACCATTGTAGGATTTTGCAGTTTGATGGCCAAGGAGGGTTTTACTTTGGAGGGTTGGACGCCGAGAGGAGGGCTGTGCTTGAGGAGTAAGTTTTCCTACTTTCCCCCATGTTTTTAGGGATTTTTTTATTTGAGTGTTTGTGAGATGAGTCCTAACGTGTGCATAGTGAGAAAGAAGATATCGATCTACAGCTCAGAGCGGTCCCGGATATCGAGCAGAGGATTAGGGAGCTCGAGGCTTCATGAAGAGGGAGGAGAGGACTTGCTTTTTGGCTGGAGAAGTAAGAGAGCTTGTTGTACGATGATTAGGTACTGTCGTAGTTGTTACGCATGCATGTATATGAATAGAGGAGACTTTTCTGTGCTCTTCTTTGTTCTTGTTTTTCATTACTGAACGAGTTGTCAGCCTTGATACCTTTCAGGTGGTGATGACCATATCAATCAATTTCCGGATCTGGACACATGCAGCATCGGCAAGATATCAAGTATGCAATGATAGGCTTCTACGTGTATATCTTTCCAATCCCTCTTCTGGGCTGCGTGTGTAAAAAGCTCCAGGACTTCAACGAACTTTGCACTCACTATTTTTCTCCCGGATCGAAATGACTTTGAGAAAGCTTCTCAAGATATCATCATCATCACCATGATTCGCCCAAATTCGCTCAACCATACACAAGAAAAAGCATCAGCAATGACCAAACCCCTTGCACAAATAATTTATTATGTTCCTTTCGTTATTGGCTAGACCTTCAACCCTTCACCTCCCCAACCCAATCAATCTCCCTCTCCTCCTGCCAAAACCCGCCCGTTTTCCCCTTGATATCCCCCAACGCTAGTAACACCGGCGTCTGCGCCCCCTTATCCGGCGTCTTCGTCCCATTCCCCTTTGTCATGTCCGTATTCACATATCCCGGGCAACACGCATTAACCAGCACGCCCTCCCGCCCACTCTCCTTCACCTCCTTCGGTAGTATTTTCGTCGCGCCAATCAATCCCGCTTTACTGACTGCGTATCCCGCCGTCGGGAACCCTTGCTCTTTCTCCTTACCGGCTTCGACGGCGGCGACGAAATCTTGCATGATGGCGGTGATGTCGGCTTCGGTTTTTGCGGTGAGGAAGCGGTTCCGGACGGGTTCAGAGTACTTGTTTAGTTTGCCGGCCATGGAAGCGACGTTGATGAGGCGACCGGTGGGTTTGAGGAGGGGGAGGAAGGTGTGGCTTGCTTCGAGGGTTTTGTAGTAGTTGCAGTTTAGCGTTTTTTTCACAAGTTCGGCGTCTGAGCGAGTGGGGGTTAGCAGATGTTATGGATAAAGATTGAGTTGGGGGGTGAGGGGGGGGGGTAGGCATACTGTAGCCGTCAAGGGCGATGCCGGCGTTGTTGATGACAAAGTCGATGCCGTCGCTGTGGGCCTGCTTTAGGTGATCTGCGAGGGTCTTGATACTGTCGCTGCTGGTGATGTCCAATAGGTGGAACTTGATTTCTGAGAGCCCGCCATCGGCTTTGAGTGCTTTTGCTTGCTTAAGTTGTGCATCTTGCTCGAGATTCTTCACAGCTGCTTCTCCTCTGCCTTGGTCGCGTGCAGCCAGGTAGATCAAGAAGGGCCCATCATTAAGCGGGGACTTGGGATACTGGAGTGCAAGTTGGTGCACAATTGCTAGGCCAATGCCCTGATAGAGTCAGTACATGTTGTTCAAGGATTCAAGATTGAAAAAAGAAATCAGGCACCTTGTTTGCACCGGTAACGACTCCGACCCTGCTGTAAGACATTTTTAGTGCTGTGATTCTGTCACTAGAGAATTGGAAAACGAGAGAAAGAAGAATGCCACGCGTATGTCAAAAGAGATCTCCCCCCGCTCCGAGCACTGTATTAATCATCGCTAGAACTACCAACGCTGTTCGGAGTTAACAAGATGGATACGTCACTAATCATGATGTGGAGACTATGCCCCAATCGCCCCGCGCACTATCCCTTTCAGCGTTAACTTGACTGTCTCATAACCCAGAAGTTCAATATCTCCTGACGGCTTTGATTCTGGAGCCATAAACCCAACGTTGCATATGTACAAATCGATCGACGTGGGCTGAACATCCAGACCCGACCCCCCTCTTTTGATTCGCTTGCCAGCAAAACCAACACTATGAACAGACCGCAAACCCATCTAGCACAAACACGGCAGATGAATAGTCTGATAGTTACTGCACGTTTTCCCACTCGGTGCATCGCTCCCCGTCTGCAAAAACAAATCGTAGTACCCAGCATCCGCGGAATTGCAGACCAGGAAATTCAGTTCTGCACAGATCAACCCAAATTAGCCACACACTCTTGACATCCAAAAAAAAACACCCCTTCAAACAGCCTTGCCATCTAGGAGGGGAGGAACGGGAATTAACTCACGTCGCCCATAGCTACTCCCCTGCGTCGTAATAATCGTATCACCCTCGAGCCCCCACGCCGTCGTGTCACCCTTCGCACCCCAAACCAGCGGCTTGTAACTCGTCGATGCAGTAGCGATGTTCAGGAACTGATTTGTTTTCTTGGATTGGATCGTTCCCCCGATAGTAAATTCTTCAGCTGCGGATTCGGGTCCGAGAACTGGTTTCGACGCTGAAATTGACGTTGGTAAATTCCCGTTTTCAATGGATGTGAGGTTGGGCGTGTGTGGTAGGTGCGAAGATGTTTAGGAGCAGAGTAGAATGTACATACAGTTCTTTGGGCTGGCTTGCAGGTAAAGATGGTAAATCGGATCGCGCACGCCGCGGATCTTGCCTACCGTCGCTGCTGCTCTGACGACGTCCTCAACAGGTGCAGCGGCAGCGCTTTGTGCGAGGAGCAAGAGTGGTGCGAAAAACGTCAACATGGTGATATGCGGTGACGAGGGCTCAAGTGCAGATAATCCATGACGGTAGAATCCACGACTCTAATACTCTGTTCCTGAGCCTGTGATCAATTTTGGCTTTTGTCGCCTCGCGGAGGGTAATATCGCGGATAGATTGCAGTCGCGTCACGCGTGGATGCATTGACTAGTAGATATTAAATACCCTTGTCGTGAAACTACCGCAAACACCGGGACAGGGAGTGGACGGCACGAGAAAACAGGTCTAATAATTAAACCATGATATTTACATACTTGTGTCATGGTAGGAACTCCACATTATGTTCAAATATCGGGAAAACGGGTACAGCCTAGATGGGACCGGATGTCGTGCAGATGGTAGTAGTATCCAAATGCGTCCTGGTGGAGAACACAAATGACAAGTAATCTCTACCGTACGAGCCTGGTCAGAAATCAAGATTTCCCTCATCCACTACCGAATATACTAGACCCCAATCCCGATACAACTTTGTACACTTGAGAGATAACAGTCTCAGGCGACTCTCGCTCTGGTGTCATGCCAGTCTCCACGGACACCATCTCCTCAGCACCGTTCGCACCACCCTTTGAAGTTTTTGCTTTCTTCGAGGGCTTCTCGACCGATTTCGATCCGGTACCACCAAATCGATGATACTTGTGTCGGTTCGGTCGCCCAAATACCTTCTGGGGAGTTTGCAGCAAAGCAAAGCTAGACAACCCCTCACCTTCATCCTCCCCAACTGGCAGTATCTGCGCGTTTTGGATAATCTCCACGATATCAGCATCATCTTCTAACTCTTTTGCTTCCTGATGATCTGCTCGTGTCATCGTCTTCGCGCGGTTAAAGATGGCATGCTCGATCGTGTTCTCAAGCACTAACGTCTCAACGAGAACCTCTTTCGTCTGCCCTATGCGATGTGCTCGCTTGATTGCTTGAGCTTCTATATTGGGTCTGTGGATCGGATTCGAAATGAGTACGATACTCGCCGCATTCAGGTTTAACCCAAGAGCACCGCAGGCAACATCGATCATTAGGACGCGAATGTCCGGATCTTCGGCGAATAGCCGCACATACTCAGACCGCAGTGTGTTTTCCAGATTCCTAGCGTAGATCCGGTGATTGACATACATGAGCTCAAGGCATTGTGCTATGTACCATGCTGCGTCATCGCCATCGTAGAAAATGATGATCTTTTCAGTAGCTTGATGTTGCATTACCTTGTCTAGCAAATAGCTGAGTTTAGCGGATGTCGTGCCCACTATTTGAGTATCATGTAGGGGCGAGCTTGTAGGCAGGTTTGCCGCTTCGTCCGCCAAAGTGAGCTTGCGCTTCTTGGAGCGAAGTGAAGATGTAACAACTGCCAACCCTGCTGCAGTATCATTGGTACTGTTTTCTGATTGTCTCTGGGAAAAAGACGGGCCAGTCGTTACGAGAGTCCGCCGACTTGATGGTGATTGGTGACCATCAATTAATGATAATGGTACCCCGGCTTTGTTCGAGGGCGAGCCGGCCATTGACTTTTTGTCGCTATCTTGAGCCCTGCCTTCCGCTTCTGCCAATGCTGCGACCTTAGCTTTGGCTTCGCATCCAACAGCTTCAAGCCCGGCAGCAGGGTCATGTGACAGTATGTTGCCATCAACATGGAGCTGTCCTTCGATCAGTTGCGTAATGCCAATCATTGTAGGTTCTGCTGCGTCACCGAGTGCAAAAGTACTCCGTGATTCTCTGGGCCAATCTTTGACAGCCATTCCCACCTCGTGCGCGTTGCTTAGCGCTTTCCAACCCTCCGAGGTCGTCAACCTGGATATGACCTGACAGCTCTCTAGTAGGGCCTGTGAATCTTCAATGGAGCAATTTATGCCCTCTTTGGCTAGGTACTTGCTGCTAGTTTCAAGTGTGGCGACAACGTCGAGCAAACTAAACCCAGTCCATGTGAAGTTCGATTGACGTAAATTTCTTATCAGGGCATGACGCTCCTTGACGCTATTCTTGTGGAAAAGGTAATCAACGTCTGTCCTTTCGCTCGTGATGGCATTCGCGCGAAGTACTTGAACAAAGAGATTTGCTGTCATTTTGTCATACCAGCACGGCTTGAGAAACACAGCGCGATGCCGCATGGGAGGCAGAATAATGTCTTTTTCGACATCTTCTGGCCGTGTCTTCACGAGCAAGCCTTCCAGTGTCCGTAAAAAGCCCGATGAAAATCCAGAGTAGGTCTTTCGATATTGGTGCTCATGGCGATAGATATGTTCTTCCCAGTCAAGTTTGCCTTCGGAACTGTCGCACCAAGGACGGGCCATGAGAAAATTTGAGGCCAGAACTCCTAACGCTTTAGCAGCCTTGAGGTTATCAGGATCAAGATTGAACGACTTCCTTTGCTCAATAGCAAGCTCCCGCTGCAATGCAGTGTCGCCTTCGGTTTCCATGGTAGCCATATCGACCTCTACGCCGACCAAGTTCTTTGCAGGCGCTGGAGGTGAAGATCAGTAAGCGCAATCGGGTTTCTTTCTAGTTACTTACTGCCAGATACAACCCAGCGCCTCTCTGCCTCGATTTGTTTTGCGACTAATACCGCGTTTGATAAAGAACTAGAAAACGAGTGACCCTCATCGATGATGATCCTCAACCAGTGAATCTTCTTCAGTGGTGATTCATAGAATTTGTCATAGTCGACACAATTACAGTCAGGAACCCTACTGGCCCCGATGTATGAACATTTACAAACCCGGGTTACTCCGCGGACTGCTCGTCGCCCTTGATCGTCCTGTCCGTCTTGGATCTCTTGTTCGAATCGATTACGCGTAAAAAGAATTACGTCGAACTTCATCAGTTCGGTGGGGACTGGCAACTCGCTCCGAAACTGCATGTTGTCGTCATCGTACAAATTACTCTGTACCTTGCTCCCACGCTTTGTCACAGTGTCTAGGACTAGTACTTTAAGACCACCTTGTAGCACATGTTTTTTGATCTCCGACTGCCACTGGTGCAAAAGATTTCTCGGTACGACAACGATGGTAGCAGATGAGATTATCAGCTGACGGGGTGGAGGGAGCCTAGCGCTTCTGTTTATCCTAGAAAGCTCAGCCGGAATTTCATAAAACGGGATGTTTCGGTCAAGCGCATTTCGATATTTCGTCATGTCTCCGGCGCCATTCATCTCAGACTGCTCCAAAAAGCCCCGTGCAGGTACAGAATAGCGCCCAAGAATAGACGCTGCCATATCTGATAGCTTTCCTACGCGGTGGCGAACGGGAGGAGGCGGTCGGTAGGCTGCAGGTATCTTGGGTAGATGGTATTTACTAGCCAGAATTACAGCTAGACAGATGACGGTCTTTCCTAAGCCCATAGTCTCTGCCAAAATCCCTCCTCGAGTAATTTCGTAATATCGAGGCTCTTGCAAAAAAGACCCGTCACGGCTCCCAAAGTAGAATTTTTTGCCATCGGGAGACGAACGTACTTCCAGCCTCGGATCAAGCTGTAATTGAGGTGCTGCCTCCCTCTGCAACATCGCACTTGCAGAACGAGCTTGGTAGGCGTACAATCTGGTTCGTAGCCCTGGGAGTGCTTGTTCGCCATATTCATCCCATCCTGAGACAGTTGCGGACTCCAGTAGATCGTTTACAGCAGCTCTTGTATACCGATCCCGAATTTCTCCTTGAACTGGCGCTGGAGATGGTAACTTGTTGAACAGGTAATATAATGAAGAAAGCTCTGCACCGGCCCAGGGATCGAAGTAGTGTATTTCATTTTCGTTGGGGTCACCGTACCAAGCCTTTGTTGATATGTCAATGGATTTGAGGAGGTGCCGTAAGGCAGCCTTCAATTTCTTGCTGTTACGATCAACGGAACGACGACCCCAATCTTCTGGCATCAAATATACCCTTACTGAACTCTGGAAAGGAGCAGTGCCAGGCGCAAAATTGCGCAGAAAGAGCCGTATCCAGTGTGCCTCAAGCAGCCTGGAAGTTTCGTTGCCAATGATTGCTTTCACCTCTTCTGGAAGCCCATGATACAGCAACTCCATCCACTCAATATGCGCTTGTGATTTATGAGATGGAAGAATCGAATCTCGAAAGTGAAGGCAGCCAAGAGCGATATAGCGATCGACATCCTGCTGCTTTGTAGCCAGACTTTGAGTAAGGTCATCTTCTGATGAGGCTAAGGTGATTGACATTTGCTCGGCTACAGTCGACAGTGGAGTTTTAGACCGTGATATAGCAGGTGCAGAATAGTCCTTGGTATTTACTTGTTCGCTACTTGTGGTGCCTGACGCCGCTTGTGGTGATTCGTTGGTATGTGGAATACTAGTTCCATCCCAGGAGACAAGCCTGGGAACCACAACCGGTCCATTCATTTTGAACATGAATTATTAGTCAATCCAGAGGACGGAAAGCATTGAGCCTCAGAATGAGAAGATGAACTTCAAAACAGATTTTGTTGGTCGACATGACTAGTGAGAGAGTTAAGGCAACCGCGAGGTGCACGGTGTCGGCGTTTCGCGCTAACGCTTTTGGTTAGTGTGATTAGCTGAGCGTGTATCAGTAGGAACAGGTCTAAATTCTATGAGCAAAAGCTACAGACTGTAGCTCGATAAAGTACTTTTCAGAGCTCTGCGGACTGCAGAATACAAGCCCAAAACGCCTATACGCCATGCTAATCCTCATGATCTACCGCATCTCCTGCTGCCCTGTAGTAGGCTTCACATTGTCACCTTCAACCCACACGCTTTCCATTGCCTTCTCTAGAATTTGCATCCCTTCCTCGATCTGGGATTCGGTAATAACAAGTGGGGGAACAAACCTCAAGGTATTTGTACCGCAAGTGATGATTAGAAGACCTCGTTCGCGGGCAGCTGTGACAATGGGCGTAGGATCTGTGTCCAGCTGAAGGCCGAGGATTAATCCCTTACCCCTAACTTCCTTGATCTGACCCGGGAAGCGGGTTCGCAGAGCATCAAAGTGCTTACGGAATGCTTGCTCTTTGGCGGGTATCGACTCGAGAATCTCTGGAGAAGAAAGACGTGATAGAATATAGGAAGCGACACGTGATCCGAGAGGGTTGCCTCCGAATGTCGTGCCGTGATCACCAGTCTTGATATGGTCACACACATAGTCATTGACAATAGTGGCACCAATCGGGAAACCGTTGCCCAATGCCTTGGCAGTGGTCACAATATCAGGGTGGCACTCCTTGGGATAGCCACCGTGGGCCCAGAAGGTGCCTGTTCGCCCGAGACCGCACTGGATCTCGTCAAATATAAGGACGGCACCAACCTCCGTGCAGCGCTTTCGTAGTGCAACAAGGAACTCAGGTGTCGCTACGTTTACTCCTCCTTCTCCCTGGATAGGTTCAACAATGACGCCGCATGTTGCATCTGTGACCAACTCATTGACGGCATCGACATCGTTGAACGTTCCGTACCTGAAGCCGGGAATCATAGGCGAGAATGGAGTTTGATATTTTGGATTGGGTGTTGCGCTCAAACTTCCCATGGTACGGCCGTGAAACGAGTTGTGGAACGAAACAAATTCATGCTTGTCTTTGTTTGGAGAAATAGACTTGCCCACCTTGCGCGCGAACTTAATGGCAGCCTCGTTTGCCTCGGAACCGCTGTTGCAAATGAATGTACGGGTTGCGCTAGCAAATCCTCCGGTCGCATGCGTGAGTTGGATGAGCTGTTTCGAGAGAAGACCTGTGTGTGGGTTGTGATAAAGATTCGAAGTATGAATCAGTTGTTTAGCCTACATCAAAGTCAGTCGATTTGAAGCATTTGTTAGGGTCGCATATTTTACCTGCTCTCCAATGACTTGCGCTACACCAGCATCGCAGTGCCCCAAAGCATTGACAGCGATACCAGAGGTAAAGTCAAGATACCTTCTGTTTTCAATGTCCCACATGTAGCATCCTTCTCCCTTTTCGAACATTGGTGGCGGGCGAACATAAGTTGGGACCATGTACGGCAGTTGCTGGTTGACTAGACCTGCAGTCTTCGAAGTGGCAGGCGGATCGGGCGTTGGCAACGACGCATCGCGCTAGGAAGTGTAAGTCATAGAAGATGTCATATTCCGAATTGATGGCGGGCTTACAGCTATCGAGTCTAAAACATCTTGTGGCAGACTTGAACCTTTCAGCCCAGTCGCTGTTGAAGCAAATCGCGCAGACGTGCCATTGATGCGCGGCGCACGCAATGCAGAATAAACCCTCCTGGAAGCAATTCGTGCGAACATTGCGAGTAACAAACACTATGAGAACCAAGAAGAGGAAAGGTAATACGAAACAATTAGCATAGGAGTGCTTGTTGAAGCATGACTGTTCAGGCGTGATGCAACGCCCAAAATTTTGGGCTGCATATGGGATGCGGGCCGAGGTCGGAGTTGTCAGCTTACGGAGGGCGCATAGCACGCGGGATATAGGCATAATTTCCCCAAAATCTTGCATCGAAGTATCACCAACGCGAATGACTGTTCGCGCTCAAGTCTCGTTGGTGTAGTTGGTTATCACGTGGGTCTCATATCCTCCATGCTATGACTACTCTAAGAGTAGAAATCCCAAGGCCGCCAGTTCGAGTCTGGCACGGGACAACTTCATTTCTTTTTTGCTGCCATGATAGTACACATGCATGCGTGCATACATACATACATACGCCTTTGCTTTTTTGGACCATTTGGACGCGCCTGTTTCCCTTTCGTACCATGGAATGCCTGTAGGTCGTCTTTTATAGTCATCTTAAGTGCAACACGTGTAATCTGATATTTAACGCTCTGTTTTTTTTCTGCGACATATGAAATCTCTCGTAGTCGCGTCGTGGAGCCTTGACACTATGAACCATATGTTGTCGTGAGTGTTTCGCGATTGCCAGGGGTTCAAGCTCAAGATGACGTGGTCCATTGATGTCATTAACTAGCCAACATCTACTATCTAATCTCATAACGCGCATTTACTGCTCAAGAGACCCATTTCGTATTCCGTCGCATCGACATTCTACATTTTCATCTCATATATCATCGGCCGACATGCCTCCAGCTAAGAAACAGAAGAACTCGCGCAATTCTGGCGTCTCCACGCAAGATGCCCACAGCGACAGCTCAGACTCCGCCTTTGAATCTGTGCGCTCGCGCAAAAACAATAAGCGCAAGAGCACGAAAAGTGCGAGCGACAAAAGCCAGAAAGCGAGCAAGTCTGGGAACCCTGAACCTTCACCATACGACTATGTTTGCATCCACCGCCCTTACTTTGACATCAAGGGTGAGAATTGGCTCACATGGTCAACCAATCCGTCAGCCCACATTAAAGAAGAAGAACTCTTTGAGAAAGTGTACATACCCAACGCCGAACGGGAAAAGAAAGAGAAGATCGCTGGATATCCACCTGAGAAACATCCAGAACACAAGTGGGTGATTATGTGGGAGGCATGGCACAGGCAAGACCTGGGGGGCCTAAAAGCAAAGTACTGTAATCCCGACAATTTCGGCATGTACATTTACAACGACTGGACAAACTGGGGTATGCTTGAAATTGCAGAGAACATGGTATGTATTGTTATTTTGAACGTACAAATTGGTCGTAGGCTAATAAGTCTAAAGATGATAGAGTTCAACAAGGCCTATATGTCAAAGGCCCCCACACGCCTCGAAGACATGTGGGTCGTCATTAGTGCCATGGGGTTATGGCTCAATGAAAATGACCATATCAGCGAGCTCATCAGTGGTGAAGGCGACGATGTACTGATGATCATTGGCCTTATTGGCCGTGCATTACTCACAACTCTGGCGGCTGTAGAGAAGGCAGGTGAACTTAAACCAGACTCTCGTTTTTTCGACTTGACACTCGTCATCGCTTATTACTTGGAAATATCATACGATCTCCCTGCCTACGGTGTTGAGGGTGACTGCGTAGCCTGGCGCAAGCACGCCGTAAACTACTTTGAGAAGGGCCATCTGGATCCGGCCAAGGGCCTCTCCACAACAAAATCACATATTGAGAAATTGAAGAAGGTGAACAACTACAACGAAGACCACGATGCGCCAAATTCTGTAGCCGATCTTCCTGACATATGTGGTGACATTCCCATGTTGAAATTACTTCGGGAAGAAGACGACGAAAAGGAAAATGAAAGTCCAGAAACTTGGGACAAGAAATCTGGATCGCCGAATGGCAAGAACAGTAAAGGTAAAAATGCGAAGAAAGAGGATGATGTATGGAATTGGGTCAAGATTTTCAAAGCATATAAGAAGGAACGAGGCCCAGTGATGGGTGGGGAGAAATATGATATCACCAAGATGACTCGAGCTGAACGAGCGGAGTCGGCATTTGATCAGAGAGATCCCCTCGTAGATTTCCCGGTTAAAGATCTGAAAAAGAATCTTGTGGATTTCGGGCCATAGTGCGAGTCATTTATAGGACCTTGTGATCAGCATGGGAGGGAACGGCGTTGGCCCAATCCTGTTTCATTTGAACGTTCATATGTTGTATTATAGTTCCAATTGTTTCATAGCAAAATTTGTGTTGTATATTACAGTTCCAACTACCGACTCTACTGCACACATCCTCGAGTGTCCACCGGCCAAATCTCTTCAATCACTCCCTTCCGGTGCGCATAATACACATCGTGCAGATTGACCGTAGGATCAATATGGCTCGGAATAATCTCCACCCTATCCCCTATCCTCAATTCACTCGCCTTTCCCTCTTCCCACTTGAGACTCCCATGCTCGTCGCCCAACACCCCATACTCGTAACCCTGAGTCTTACACTCCGCCAGCCCCGAGTCCGTCGTCAAACTCTTCAGTCCGGCATCGATCGTAATAACATTCGGACCCTGCTTGCTCAGCACCGTCGACAGTATCGTCAAACTCTGCTTGAAATGCTGCCCACCCACCGCATTCCTGTAATCCGTATCCATGAAAAGAAACGACCCAGGCTGCACCTCCGTGACCCCAGGCACCCTCGCACAAAACTCCGCCGTCCCCGTTCCACCAGTAGTGACAACATCAATCTTATGCCCCTCCCCCCTCAGCGCCTCCGCCGTCTCAACCAGCACCTTCATACTCTCCAAACACGCCTCTTTCCTCGCCTCCAGCCCATGCACATGCTGTAAATGGCCCTCATACCCCTGCACCCCAATCAACTCAAGATGTCTACTCTGCGCCACAAACGCCGCAAGTTCCTTCGCCGGCACCCCCGGCTGCACGCCCGTCCGATGAAGCCCAACATCCAAATCCACCAGCGTCTTGACTTGCTTCCCCCTAAATCCGCGTTCCGCAAGCGCATCATCGATAGCAGCAGCGCCCTGCACGCTATCCACCACAATCCTCACTTCAGGATACTTTTCTAGCAACTCGACTAGCCGCGCGACTTTTGCGGCCCCGACGACTTCGCATGTAATGAGCAGGTCCGAGAAGCCTTTTGAGCACATTACTTCGGCTTCGGAGAGTTTGGCCACGCACCCGCCTTTTGCGCCGGCGGCGACCATTTTTTGGGCCACGATGCTAGATTTGCTGGTTTTGAGGTGCGGGCGGATGGAGACGCCGGTGGGGAGGAGTTGGGACATTAGGGTTTGGAGGTTGGATTCCATGATGTCGAGGTCGACGATCATGGAGGGGGTGTCTAGGGAGGCGATGGGATCGCCGATTTTAGGAGCATAGGGCATGGTTGCTGGTGATGTGGTTGTTAGGTATATGTTGGTCCGGTTTGTGGTCAGACTGTGGTGATGTGGTGTAAATGAGGGGAAGTTGTTTTGTGACAATTAATATTTCTTCCGGGTTCTTGCAATCAGTATGTAACTTTAAGGATATATGAATTTTGATAATAACTCGGAATACTTCGGAATTGAAGACTGCATTCAAAGAGAGTCAGAGCGAACATCGGACTTGGAGGTGGTGCTGACGATAAGGCATCTCCGAGGTGGAGAGGTTGCTGTTGTTGTAGCCCAAACGGGTAAGCCGGGCGTCAGAGTCACCTTCCGAACGCGATAGTAGAATTATAGATCTTCAGGGTTCTGCTGCTGACTCGCTGTGTTCCTGAAAATCCCTTTAGGTTACACTTGAATGGTTGCGTGTAAATGTAACTGTTTGGAGGCTGGGTCTTCGCATTGAAAGTTGCTAGTGCATGTGGTCTATGAGCACATTGCATGCAGCACACTGCATAGAACAAATCAAGTGGACATCAGAGGGGTATCAAACTCCGTTTTCTTCAGAAAGACACTAGATTGAGTTGGGCGAGGAGAGATGAACATCTATATTAGCAATGTGTATCATGAGCACGTATTAGTCGGCGAATCTATAGCCTAGATGCAGTGACGCCAAAACACAATAAGCGCAAGTAAGCCACCGATTCCCGAGTCGCGATGAAGAAAGTGAGTCAACGAATCCCTTATAGTTGACTAGTCCACGACTTAAACCTTGCAGCCATTATGTCCCTTCTGCTGCCACATCTTCACGCTTTTGACCTTCATTTGCCCACCGTCCTTCCACGTAGGCAGCCATTGGTTTCTCGCCTCCCAGAAATCGAGTTTAGCACGGGCGCTCCTGTCGATCCATGGCTTACCGCTCTTACTATCTTCGAACCAGCCGTTTGTTGATCCGACACCTAGGTTGATGACGAGGTAGAAGTTTTGATCAAAGGGCGAGGTGTTGCTATTGGTGTGCGCCCACGGGTTGTCAAGACGGGTACCGTTAGCGTCGGCTAGAGGAAAGCCACCGTACTTCCAGAACGGCTCGTCGAAATGCGTATACATGACTTGAAGAAGGCGTGTGTTGATGTACGTAAATATGTACTTCTCAGACCACTAGGTTTCGGGTTAGCATCACTATGCTAAAATTTGGGTGAATGGTGAAACGAGCCTCGACACCAAATGTGTTGTATCCAGCCGCATATGTGGTGTGCAGTGCCTTTCGCTTGACATTGTTACGCCACCAACCATTGTGGTTGGAGTCGGGACCGAACTGCAGCGTACTGGAGACAATGTTGTTTCCACCCTGCTCATAACCAGGTGCATTACCACGCGACTCTATGATATCGATTTCACCAGAGCGGGGCCAAGGACCATACACGCTGTCCTTGGGCAACATAGAGATTGAGGGCCACAGCCAGTCTCCAGCGGGTAGCTTGGCAATGACCTCGACGCGTCCATATTTGATCGAAGCGCCAAGCTTGGTGTTGATGCGACCGGATTTGACAGGGTTGACAATAGTACCATTTGTTGTGTTGGTAGATGCAAGGCAGTCTGTCCAGGCAAGACCAGTACAGCCGTGACCACGGAGATCAATGATATGATCCTGCATAATGAACTCCTCATTCTGGACGGTAGGCTTTATGACGAGCTCGCCATTGTCGATGAATACATTCTCGTTTGTGCCTGTGGTCATCTCGAATTGCCCGTTACTGCATATCAAGTCAGTCCCAAGCTGCTGCACATCCAAGTGCTGTCACCTACCCAAAGCCACCAAGCTCGACCTCCTTTGTCCAGAGACTTTCATTCCAAGAGGTGAAGTTGTCGTTGAGTATTTCACAGTAGCCGTGCTGTGCAACGGACCTCAATCCATCCCAGATGAGTATTCCTGTCACGGCCAAGCCAAGAACCAGACCAAGTACGGGAAAGATAGTAACCCATATCTGTCGGGGATGCTTCTTGTCAAGCCACGGCTGCTGAACGTCTTCAGGCTTAACGCGCCGTGATCGAAAGAATTCGCCCCTATATGCGTTCTGGTAGCCTGACACGGCTGGCGAAGGGGTAGTGTCCATTGTGTACTGTGAAAAACAAAAATGCAAAAAATGGAGAGCGAGTGTGTGGGAGATGCCGTGTGGGTGTAGGATAGATCCTTTTTATGGGCATGTTCATCGTCTGATTACCAGTAGATGACGGTTAAAGCGAAGTGAGAGTGCTGGAAGTCAACCTTTGAATCTCTCGTCTGCTGAATGGGTCGCTGTGGATCTATCCGAGCTGTCTTTCCAGTCTGTTGTGGCAATAAAAAGGTCGCCAGTCGGTTCAATGATATTTAGTAATTTAGTTCGCGTTGGTAAAGACTCTCACGACTACTGCACCGTCACGCTGTGGTCATGCACTCAACATGTGCTGGTCTCTCTGTTCTCACTGGCTATCTTAGACGTTCTGTTGGTATACATCAGCCTGCGCTCTAACGATGCTAGATCCATTGGGATTGCACCATGGATCTGAGTGGGCCAGTATGACAGATATCGTCCTTGTTAACCCGCTGGATGTACCAAATTACTATCCTAAAGTCTGTCAGTGGCTGGGAAGGTCAATAAGACAGATGCATAAGATTTGGCAATGGCTCTAAGATGTAAATCTAGCGTCGCTACCGGAGATGTAACGAAGATTACTTCAAAAGAAACCTTTCACTGGGATATGATTCAATCGGAAAATCTGAAAATATTCGAACGGTTGATTGAGCACTGACACATACCAAGCCTCTTCGTAAGGTCGTGATTTCATATCTGAAAAGCATATCCATCTGAGGCTACGGATGAAGCCCTCATAGCCGGAACTATGCGTTCGCAGCCAGACTAAGGTAGATACCCCACACAACACCCACCGAGGCTCCAAAAACAATCCTTTTATCAACAGGGATCCACAGGAAGCTAATGAGACTTATCGTCGGCCAGAACTTGTATCCATCTTTCATCATGGGCCACGTCTTGTTGATGCAATCGCTGGTAACCACGTCCGAAACGTTTACGCCCGGTTTACCCTGCGCATTAACGTATGCCATATAACTCACGAACATGAGCGTGTTGACAACTGCGCCAATTGTTTGATCAAGGATAAACTTGATCAAGACATTTCTTCTGCTCATGGATGTCTTCGCAGGTTCGTGTTTGGACGCAGATTTCTCGGATGAGGTGGAAGCCGGCGCTGATGGGACATTTGTGGGAAATTGGTCTTCGAGGAAGCCTTGCCAAATGATGTTGGGCGGCGTGCTGAGAACGCTGAAGACGACGAATTTGAGTACGGATTGGTAATTGAGGGCGAAGGGCGTCTAGGGCAGATGTCAATTGCATGGCTTTCACATAAGTGACTACACAAAAATGCGTACGTCGTCCTTGTAGGATGATATGGCTTGCGCAAGTACGTTAGACGTTACGCTGAGTGCTGCACCTTGCAGCGTTTGCGATATCATCGACATCTTATCGTTGGGTATGTATTCTGTTATCGCTGGGAAGGTTTTGGTTTACGTGGCTGGAAATCCGAGTTTGCGAACCCTATAAAAGCGAAAAGATGCGATCTGAGTACCGCAATGATTCTGGATGTAAATAAAGAAACAGATTGGAGTATCGCAAGTATATCAATGTGGCCAGTAGTACAATTTCCACCGAGGCTGGAATTGTTACAGCGATGTTTCGACAGGGCGCGTCTCGCGTACCATGACTAGCGTCCTGACGTCAATCAAGGATGCATCTCCAACGCCCGCCATTTGCGCGCTGTCGGTCCGGCTGAACCAGATTGGCCCCCTTGTGTCCGAGAGTATTCTACATATGATATTCACACTGTCCAGCAATGGACCCCAGAATTGACCAAAATGCGGGGTCGATATTACGCCAAGTCAGTATGAGCTGAATGCAACGATCCTGGCGTCGGCAGATGTCTCGAGATGCATCTTATCTTTTTAGACTGAGTGTGTTGGTTCAAAATCACATTCATTCACCAACGCTAGATAGAGCACCTTTGTGGATGCTATCTTCTGGTTACTACTACTGTTTGTCTTCTCCTTTGTGGCACCGAATACTCAACTCTTCTCCCGGCCAGTGCTCTTCGTAATATTTCAACCCTTCAGCGCCTCAACACAGTACTGCTTATTGGCTACTCCCAGTGTATTTGTTCTTGTATCCAGGAAGGCTGACTTGGATCGAGTATCTTGGCTCTTTATTTGACAGCGTTGATCCCGGTCTCAATCCCATGTTGGACTACCACCTTCCTAGCCAAGCAGTGATGCTTGTGTGCATGTGATGTCCGGATCCGAGGTAACGAACTTGTCATCCGCAATGGAGTCATGTGCGCTGCGAAGCGCCAGACTTATTCCGTGCCAAAAGATATGTGCCATACAACAGCTAGAACTGTCAGTTCCAGGCTATCTTGGCCCAGTTTGTCGTAGTTGATATCAGCCGTTGTATCAACTGCGTCGATTTCGCGAAGACGAAACCCTCTACGTTCAAGGCATCAAATCTTCGCGATAGAAGTCTGCCATCCCTTCTCTAGTGACCTTTCGGAGCTGTGCGCCCGCACGACCCAGCTCCCCGCCAGCCTTTATGGCTTCTTCCAACCCTGCAACGATGGCAGCCTCGGCGCGTTCATGGAATACCCTTTGCCGATCCTCGCGGTCTTCGTACATTTCTGCTTCTTCATCTCTTGTAGCACTAAATAGATTGAGGTGTGCATAGGCATTAGACCGTTCTGATAACATGTGGTGCTGGGTGTGCCAAAGTGGAAATTCGTTTGTGCTGATGTCGATGGTAGTCGCTGATTGCGTATGTGAGAGTCCAGTGCGGAGAAATGAAGTCAACACGCTCATCTGTCTCACTTGAATTTTCGCATCAGCTTTCCCATATGACCTCCCTGTCGACCATTTGCTTGCTGCTTCGCTCTGCCAACCGAGGAGACTGAGGAAGCATTTAAGCATTTTTACCCAACCACCGGCACAACTGACTACTTCGTCACCTGCGACTTGAAGCAGCCATTCAAGAACATCAAGACCAAACAACCGGATTTCGGATGCTAGATGCGTCATAGCAGCTCTTGTGTGGAGGAGTAATTGGTCTGCGTGACTGGCAATATCTGTTGGTGGTAAACTCTGCAAAAGTTTGAGTAATTGCTGACGAACACTCTTTGTGCCATCGAGAATAAGGCGCTGAGCTGTAGGGATGATGACAGATGACGGTTGTGGCAATGGGGCTGTGGGTGGATTGCTAATGATTGCTGAGGTTAAAAACGCTAGCGATTCTTTACGCTGTGAATCAGCTTTATGATTGAGTAGACCCAAGTGGTGGGCACATTGCGCCTCTAGAGTTGGAGCACTAGTGGAAAGAGCTTGTTGCTTCAACGCAATTGCTAATGGATGTCAGTAGTTTTCGCAGTCCCGGCTGTCGCATTTCTTACATTTTGCGCGGAAACTGGTGTCTGTCGCATTTGCCGCCTTTGGTTTTGCTTTTCCGACCTTTAGTTTCGGTTTCTGTGTTTTGTGAGCTACAGTCACAAGAGCACCAGATTGATCTTTCATTACCTGGAAATCCTTCTTTTTGCTTTCCTTCTTCTTCTTCGAGCTCGTGGTCATGATGTCGTTCGAGTCGCGTCTTCTAGATTAGATGGGTATTTTGCTAGCAGGCGACTACGAAAAAAAGGTTCAAAATTAGAAAAAACCCAAAATCGACAACAGCGATGATGTTGAAGCGCGCGCGCTCGAGTGTAAGTAGCAGGAAAATTAAAGACCCATGGATGCCGCTAGTGCGAAAGAGGCCTAAAAAGGACATGGCTTGGCAGGGTCCAGCAGCGGACTTGTCCGCCGATGTCATTGGCAATAACCTGACGGCGACCGCATCTCTTACCCCACCTCTTTGTTCTATTTCACTGAATATGGCCCAGAACGCGGTATGTAGTATAGAGCTTCTTTTGGAATTCTAGTTGACTAACTAATGACCCAGCCAGACGAAACACTCGCATTGCTCACCCGCTTGAGCCAGAAGCCTGGCGTGCAGAGCACTCTCATACTATCGCGCGAAAATGGCAACATAATACGCACCTCTGGCCTCATCTCGAAAAGCTCATCGGCAAATCCAAACAGTACCCTCCCAGCTTCTGGAGAATCTACACCTGAGAGCTACGCGAATGGCAGAAAGGAAAGCGGGATTCATAGCGCGGAAGATGTCGCGAGCTCGGTGTGGTCATTCTTGACCGCAGCAGGAAGTCTTATCGATGAGCTAGACAAGGAGGACGAAGTGAAGCTTTTGCGGTTGCGAACCAAGAAGAATGAGTTGGTCATTGTACCAGGTATGGATGTCGCACGAGCTACTATGTGCCATGTACTAATCTACGACCAGATCCCAAGTTCATTCTCGTTGTTATTCATGATACCCCTCCTGCCTAGGGCCTTTGACAGACTCACTGCACACCGGAATTGTTTTTTACACAAGCAACAAGATACCCCACTAGGTTGAATAGCGCAATAGACTGGTTCACCAATGAGCTTCGCTAATGTCGACTTGATTAACATCAACACCGTCCTTGAACCATCGATCTGGAAATGTCATTGGGGAACTGTATCGGTCGAACGTAAGCACCAGAGGACTTACCAGCTTCTTCAATATCGATGTCATTGCCGCTCATCTGCCGCTTCCGCATCTTTCCGTCCTCGGCGAAGGTCCAGTCTTCGAGACCGTAGCACCGCTTCCACTTCATGCCATCATGGGAATCCTGGAACTCGTACCAGAACTGCACTGCAATCTTGTTGTCGGTAAATGCGAAAAGCTCCTTGCGTAGCCGATAGCTTTTCTCTTTCTCCCACTTTTTGGTCAAAAGGTCCTCGATGGCTGCCGTGCCTACGAGGAATGATGATCGGTTGCGCCACACACAATCGGGAGTGTAGGCCTGGGAGATGACCTGGAGATTTCTACGACAATAAGATGGTGCAGAAGCGTAAGCACATGCTGACGTACTGGGTATTCCACAGGTCCTGGGCCTTCTTGACCTTGGCATGTGCGGTTTCTTTGGTGAATGGTGGTGCAAGAGACATGGTTCGATCAGATTGAATTACTCCAGATGATTTGTGAAGATTTCAGAGGTCGCTCTGGCTGAACTATATACTATCTAACTTGCCGTGATATCGAGACATACTCTCACTTTGACGTGCCGAAATCTTGTTTGGTATCGGCGCATCGGCATTGTTGGATGCCTAGTCTAGAAAACCATGCCGCTTTGATCATTCTCAAATGATTATGTGATGGTTCTCTCAGCACTCTGCATACTACTAGCATCCATAACCATTTCTGAACCCAAAGCCTAAAGCATTGTCGTTGTTGTCATTCCCTGCCGCGACCTCTGCCACGCGCTCATGCCGATCGCAGTGGACCCCGCGACCCACTTCCATATCGATAGTAAAGGGAAGCTTCTCGAACCAACAACCCATCTCAGACGTTCGTATAGCGCATTCGTAGGAAGGGACCAGATGCCGAGGCTTCCCACCAAATGACAAAGCTCTAGCATACTACTGTGTAGGCGCGCAATACTCCGAGGGTCTAAGACGTTCCAATTGACAAAGCTAACCCTCCAAACCCGGCCGTGCTATAGTAGCTCTGCCCAAGCATCAAGGTAGCACCCATCTACGTAGTCCCCGCCATGCCATCACCAGCTCTTCAGCTCGCTCACTCAGGTACCCGCATCGCGCGCTCTCATAGGCCAAGAAGATTTGTCAAAGCAAGCAGCGCGAAACCCCGGTCGTACATCCAGAATGAGGCAGTTTTTAATGTACAATGCTATATGTTAACTTTGTAGGGTAACCGACGGCTCCTTGGCGGGCAGATGACGCCAAAGCTGTCGCACTTTCCGCCAGCAAGTGTATGCATATCCGCTGTGTAGTGTCTTTTTGCCCCACTATTCCATCTCGAGAGCTATACGCAAGAAAGCGTCGAGGTAAGGGTTTCGGCCGGCCAAAGCAAGCAAAAGCGGGTGAAGCGGGCAAGGTTTGCCCCTCCTTTCCTTGGGTCCCGCACCTTGTCCTGGCTGCTAGTACTTAAGTTAGATAAAGCTCCTTGAGTTTCTTGCTCGGAGTTTTTCTTTTACTTGCAATTGATCGAGCCGATATATAAAGCTTTCTTCACGCTTTGGACTACCTTTCTCACACCTCTCCCACTTCACATTTCATATACAGCAATTGCAAAGATGGCTCCTCTCAAGGTTGGCGACAAGCTCCCCGAGGGCGTCAAGTTCGAGTATGTTCTACCTTTCATCTAGCACTTGGTGTTTGCTTGCTTTACAAGATGAATGCTGACCTTCTTCCCAGATGGGCCCCCATCACCGACAGCGACCCCACCGCATGCGGCCGCCCACAAGAGTACGACGCGAGCAAGGAGTGGGCCGACAAGAAGGTCGTCGTCTTCTCCGTTCCCGGTGCCTTCACTCCCGGCTGCCAGGCGTACCACCTGCCACCCTACATTGCCAAGGCCAAGGAGTTCAAGGACAAGGGCGTCGACATCATCGCGACGATTGCGTCCAACGATGCGTGGGTCATGAATGCATGGGGCAAGGTCAACGGCGTCAAGGGCGATGAGGTCCTGTTCCTGAGTGACACCAAGACATTTTTCAGCAAGAACCACGGTTGGGATGCTGGCATGGGTGACCGCAATGGTCGCTGGGCTATGGTTTTCGACCATGGCAAGGTCATCTATGCTGAGAATGAGAAGAGCCCCGGTGAGGTTTCGGTAAGTTGCTCTGCATCCAGATTGATTTGGATTGTGCAAGTCTAACAATGTGCAGGTCTCTGGCGCTGATGCCGTCCTTGCCAAGTTGTAGGCATTGACAGCGAGTAGCAAGCGTCTCGGGAAGTCGCTGCAGAATGACGATATATCTAGTCAACGTTGTAGAGACGAATGAATGAAACGAAATGAAGAGCAAATCACCATGTCAATTCCAATGCGTATGTGATGCCCAACTCGGACCGAGGAGCCCATTAGACCATATTGTGTAGACACATTCGAGACGTCGCTGTGCACGTCATGTGCGGCAAGGGTGATTTAAGTTCGTGTTTGTATTCATTGCTGGTCGAATGCTCAGCTTGGATCGCAACTTTTCCATGCCCACGCTTGCTTGCAAGCCAACGAATTGGGCCCTCGACCATAGTCCGTCTCGCATGGCTGCTTCTGTTCCGATATCCGTAATGGCGTGATATATACAAACGCCATCCTGGTACGCTCAATCAAACTATTCGTGTTGTTAGTCAAGAGTTCGTGATCGACAGCGGGGCAAGACGTACGGGAGTAAGGAAAGATTCGGCAACGAAACGTGCTCGTGCGTTCAACTGTGCAATGTCAGCTCATACCCTCCATAGATTGTCAGTGATGCCTTACGAAAAGCTTCATTTCAGAAATCTCCTTGTCGACCTCTTCCATGAACTGGATAATAAAGTCGACCAGCTTGTGCTTCAGCATCTCCTCAGTGTGGGCGTTGGTGATCAGGAACGAGATGTCGTAGCCCTTGACCGGCTTCCTCCGCAGAATGTAAAACGACTCAGCTCTTTGGGTCAAGAACCGTGTGAACTTGTGGACCAGAATGTGCTCAATTTCATCTGCCTGCTTGATCTTGATGCTTATTCGCACACTGTTGATACTGGGCTCGATGTATACGCGCTCATTCTCGTTTCTCGATACGGTGAGGGGGTTTAGGATAACCTCGGGAGAGCTTGCAGCCTCAATCTCAGGGACATTGTGACGCTCCGAGGCTTGCGAGGCAAAGTTGGAGAGTGAGAGGGCGGCCGTGAGAGACGAGCGCACGCACTGGAGGTATGGGCGGAGGGATTGGGACTAGCGGACGTTAGCAATGCCCAAGTAGTCGGGCAGCAGAGGAGTCTATAGAGACATACCATTGTGAGGCGAGCTCAGCACCAGCTCTGTGTTCAGATGTCAGGACTGCAGTCAAGGGAAGAGGGCGGGCTATGACATGCCAGCACTGGGGAGTTGGCGCTGCCTGCAGGTGGTTGTTAGTGGGGCTGGAGCTCCGGGCGGCGGCTGAGCTTGGCGCGGCACCTCTTCCTCATGATTCGGCCGTCGACCATTACATGTCGCCCCACGATTGCATTATAAGTCTTTCTTTCGCCTCCGCCCCCGAGACCCTCTACACATTCTTTGCACAGTAGTCGAGTAGACATCATGGCGTCTATACCGGGTATGTGGTGATTTGCCAGCGCTTTTGGATCGTTTGTGTACTGACTTGAATGTTTGTAGTAATCGTAAAGCATCAGGGCAAGAAGCACGAGGTCGAAGTGGATACCACATCCAACGGCGAAACATTCAAGTACCAGCTATTCTCTATCACCGGAGTTGAGCCAGAGCGCCAGAAAGTCATTGTCAAGGGTGGACAGCTCAAAGATGACACCGATATGTCCAAACTGGGCCTCAAGCCCGGCCAGACTCTGATGATGATGGGAACGCCTTCGGGCACCGGAGTCGTCATTGAGAAGCCCAAGGTCCCCACCAAGTTCTTAGAGGACATGGACGAGGCAGAAGCCGCGCAGCTTGAGGGCGCCACACCTGCCGGTCTCCAAAACCTGGGAAATACCTGCTATATGAACTCTACACTACAGACACTCCGGTCTATCCCAGAACTTCAGGAAGAGCTTCTGCGGTACTCTGCAAGGTATGGCTTCTCTAAGTATTTGCTTGCGCTATACTGACTGCAAACAGCAACGACGCCGGTTCATCCAGCTCCGCGCAGCAACTCAGCCAGTTCGGCCTCGGTGGTCTCGGTGCCTCGACTGACCTTACGAGCTCCCTCCGCGATCTGTTCAAGCAAATGTCCGAGACTCAGCAAGGGTTCCCTCCGCTCATGTTCCTCAACGCGCTCAGAACCGCCTTCCCCCAGTTCGCACAAAAAGCAAAAGATGGTCATGGCTACGCACAGCAGGATGCTGAAGAAGCTTGGTCACAGATAGTATCGCAACTACGACAAAAGCTCAAGGTCACCGAAAAGGATGCGTCAGGTGCGGATAAGCAGGCCATGTCTTGGATTGACAAGTACATGTCGGGAAGGTTCGAGTCGGTCATGGAGTGCGACGAGCCTGCAGCAAAAGAGGGTGGCGAGGAGGCAGTTCACAGCGAGGACCTATTCTTCAAGCTCAACTGCCACATCAATGTCGAGACGAACCACCTCCGAGATGGTCTCGCCGCTGGCCTGAAGGAGAAGATTGAGAAGCGATCAGAAGTTCTTGGACGAAATGCCATATACACGAAGACCTCCAAGATTGCACGCCTGCCAAAGCACCTTCCAGTTCATTTTGTACGCTTTGACTGGAGACGAGACACCAACAAGAAGGCAAAGATCATGCGCAAGGTCACCTTCCCAGAAGAGTTGGACGCATTAGAGTTCTGTACCGACGAACTGAGGAAGGCTCTTGTCCCCATTCGTGACAAGATTCGTGATGTCCGCAAGGAGGAGGAGGATCTTGAGCGCGCCCGCAAGCGACAAAAGCGCATGAGGGCCGGCGAGGAGAATGACACTGAGCCTACTGCTTCCAAGGAACCTCTACAAAAGAAAAAGGAAGCCGCAGAAAAGAAGGAGGAAGCCAATAAACCTGACGATGCTAAGATGGAGGACATCGAGTACAAGACCGATGCTCAAGTTGAAGCCGAGCGTATCGCATCGATCGTTGCTGCCAAGAAGGAGCTCCTCGCACTTGTTGACCCCAAAATGGCAGCTGATGAAGGGGCCAACCAGACGGGTCTCTACGAGCTGAGAGGTGTCATTACCCACCAGGGCGCCAGTGCTGACAGTGGCCACTACACGTCCTTTGTCAAGAAGCAGGGAGCCAAGGATCCAGTCACTGGAAAGCGAAAGGAGGAAGATGGCAAGTGGTGGTGGTTCAATGATGAGAAGGTTTCCGAAGTCGATTCTGAGAGGATACAAACCCTCTCTGGTGGAGGTAAGTGTTTCCGCCATTTGGGTATGATCCGTGACTGACATTGGCATAGGTCAAAGCCATTCGGCTCTTATCCTCCTCTACCGCGCGGTCCCCCTGCCGGTCATTGAGGAGGACGTGCAGATGGGAGACGCATAGAATCAATCGACGACTGACTCCATAGATAGTGTTCAGGATGCCATTGTCGCTATATGGCAAAGTAGAAGCGTGGGCTGAGCGATGGATGACGCATGACACTGGCGTTGACCTAGCTGAAAGCGCTGTGAGCGATACTCTTTGAACTATGAGTAATGAGGGCACGACTTCTAGACTTGCATTAATAGATATTGGCCGATTGGTCTTGTTCATGTCCTCGCACCCAATTCACTCCGCGTTGTAAAAACGCGTCGAGACGTGTTGCCAAGCTTCATGACACCCGCGTCCAGCACTTCTCTTTTCCTCTCTGCAACAATCTCCTAGAATTTCTTTCAAATTCTTCTACTTGCAGTTTATATTGCCGTTCCTTACCCTATCACCCTGTTGTGTTAGACTTTCGTTTCATGTCTTAACCACCACCATCATGTTTTACAGTCACGAAAGTAGGCTTCCCTGCAAGACCCCAGCCTGGAGACTAAACTGACTTTTGCAGTCCTCACATCACGTAAATATGGTGTGGCGACGGTGTGGTTAGTCATAATAGTTGCCAGTCGCTCTTTCCTTCAACTGACAGAAATGGCAGGCTCGTTGCAACCCTCGGCGCCAAATCAAGCCTGAAGCGCATCAACCGCAAGCAAATTCTTGATGTCGACGTATCCAAAGCATGCCAAACCATCATCGATCCAGTAGCTCCCCTGGCTCTACGTCTACAGGGAAACTTGTTGTAAGTCACTCTGCTCGCCCGGCAGCATACGCAGCACTGTTGATGCATACAGATATGGACTATCGCGAGTGTACCTACAGCAGTGTGGATATATTCTTTCGGATGCACAGAATGCTCAACTTGCTCTAAGAATGGCATTACGGACAGTTCAGAATACCGAGCTTGATCCTGCTGCCGGCAAAGCCAAGTACGAATTCGTTATCTTATCACTCTATATGGCAGTCAACTAATAGATACTCCCTAGTCCACAGCAACTCATTCTCCAAGACGACCCCTCGTTCCTCCCCGATTTTGCCCCTCCCCCGCCAGAACTACTCGCTGATCTAGACTTCAACTTCAACCTCGACATAACACATTCTGGCGAGTCCCAGTCTCTAACACCGTTTGGCTCTCAGCAGTATTCGTCTTCTTCTCGTGTCGGTAGTGCAGGCGGTCTCATCCTCCCTCCCTCTTCCCCCGTCACTTCGGGCGGATTTGGTCTCGAAGGCGATTATGGAATAGGCAGCATTGGCCAACATAGTGCCATGCTTGGAGCCGGCGACACAATCGAAATCGAAGATCCGGATTTTGAATTTGGGGATGATGGCGAGATCATTCATTTGTCGCCAGGTGCTGTGTCGCTCAGAACCCTTGCTACGCCTGCACGTGCGCCCAGGTCTGGGAATGCTGGACAGAATGATAAGGTGAGAAAGGACCCTCCACAGAGCCAACAGGCTCTTGATCAGGTGAGTTATGCGATGTTTTCTCATATTCCTGCGCACTGAATATTCGGCAACATATATCTCACCTGAATTTCGACTGTAGCTTTGCGACTTGGTCCTCCATGTTTCAAAGACATTCAGCTCATTGAGGCGAAAACTTCACCTGGCGTATGGAAGCATGCCTCAAAAACCACGTTCCCGTTCTCTTTTTCTCTTGTCTCTCTCATTTTTCACTTTCCTTGCTTTCTATATCTACATATACCCCATAACATATACAATGGATACTGATATATATCAGTTGCCTGATGATGAGTTGCATGTTGCGCTTCCCGGTGAAGAAGACGGCCTTCCCGAAGGCGGCAGTTATTCCTCAAGTGGCGCGCTACAGTCTCAGCAGTCTTCAGAAGTGGTAGAATCATCAGAAACTTTTACCGCTCCCATGCGCCGACATCGACTTCCGCGCGCCATTCCTGCAGATACAGTAACAGAACTTCGTAACAAGGATCTGATTGACTGGGGCGCGAACTATCTCAAGAACATGAGGACTGCTACGAAACAGAAGATCCATAATCGCGCCCTGACACAAGCAAAGAAAAACGCTGAGCATTATGTATGGGAGTCTGGACTAGGTGGTATTGGCCAACGTATCCATGGGCGCGAAGGCTATAATCCATTTGATATGTTCATGGGCGACAAACTCTTCGAGGCTATCACTGGCATGAGTCGCAAAGTAACCGGACGTAAGCATGATCGCGATAGCGGTATTGACGATGCTACGCAAGAACAGGCACGTCGTGTACGCCAGAAGAGTGGCGAGCTTGAGGCTGCTCGAGGCGCTGATGATGAAGGATTTTCTATGCCTCTTGGAGACGACGAAGCTGCAGTTGAACTGCCTCGTGAAGCAGCCCCCACTCTCGATGATCAACATGTCTCCTCTGCAATGCCGTGGAACATGAGTGCTTCTGCTAGAAGCTCATCAGCCATTCCTTGCAGTAGGCGTATCGGCATGACTAGCTCAACCGATCATGGAAGACATCGAAGTCGCCTGGTATCCGCCTCTCCACTGCATGGACGAGGCCCGTCTATTCCGTTTGATTTGAATGATCTTACAAGTGACGCGGATTATGCGGGCAACGAGTTTCGGCTGTCAGGACTCAGCTCAGACTTTCCCGAGGTTGCAGCTCTTCCAAATACCAACTCACAGGTACCCAAAGTACTTTCTATCGAATGCGAAAACTTTATCACCTACATATGCGAAAAGATGAGAGACAAGGGAGATCATGCACAGATAGAGACAGGTGTTGTGACTAATGCTGAAGAAATTACTTTTGAAGAGCTACTTCCGCCTACGGAGAATACAAAGATGATTGCTTGTCACGGTCTCATGATGGTTCTCACACTGGGCACAAGAGGTATGCTCGACATACAGCAGTCCGAGCACCTCGGTGACATTCATCTTCGCTTATCTGAGAAAACCAAAGTGCTGGAAATCATTGAGATTAGCGATGGGGAAGAGTCGGATAGCGATATTGAAAATAGAGAAGATGAAGAGATGGGAGCACCCGCCGCAACGGGCTCACGATACATTGCTAGCGAACTCGAGGAAGAAGACGAGCAAATGGAAGACCCAGCGCATGTCGAGGACGAAGGACATTTCCGGGAGCAGTTTGCTGCTGGGCATGCTGCCCAGGTGGACGACGGTCACGAGTCTTTCTACGATGATTGATGGGCTGGGGGTGGGTATGAATATGCAGTGTGCTATTCATTTCGACAACACATGTTCGCCCACATGCGATGATGACTTTCGAGAAAGCCATATGTTAACAATTGTGTGCCATGGCTGATCTTACGAATTTAACGAGCTGGAATGATGTACCGGGAGCAAAAAGGACGGGATCTTGTGTAGTGATAATAAAAACAAGGATTATAACTCAGCCTATGGTGTTTTACTGCCTTCACCACAACCCTGATATGGTTGTCGTGCCCAATAGAGGTGTGCATGATAGGCATTTACCCGTTAAGAGGTTTTAGTACTATTACTCAACTATATTTCAGAGTTAAGAGTAGGGTCCTACTAAAGTAAATACTTACCCTAATCCTTTGGATATATCGTTTTACTGTAAAACTATTTATTCCAATATCTAATCCTGGGCGGTTAGTGTGGAGTCTACTATCACTTTCCATTAAAATCAATCTAGTACGCTACATAGCAAATAGAGACCAAAAATCTCGTGGTACGGGCTGTTTGAAGTGGCTAAATACACAGTGTTTTTGTCCCCGAAACTAGTGCAGGAGTCCAAATAAGGCAAAGATAACATGAAAGCTTCTACGGCACTAAAACTTGAGAAACTTCTCCATGCGAATCGTATTGTTCTTAGGGAAATTTGTTACTACACTGCGTTGTAATATTTTGGATGTTGCTCTCTTTGTTGGCAGAAGGGGATACATTCCCATCTATACTTTAGTGTTTTGCACCTCTCCTTATGTAAGACGAAGGCCTTGCTGAATCATTCTTTTTCCAAGGAGCCTTGCAACTGCACGTTGTTGTGGTCCGACTACCCATGAGTACGGTGTTTTCCCATCGTTGTCTCTCCGGCCGACATCTATGTTTGGTATCTGGAGTAGTGTAGAGACCAAGTTGGGCGAACCTGACGATGCTGCCCACCAGAGAAGAGTGCGTCCATTGTTGTCTTGCGCGTTTATATCCGCGTCGCTTAACATGAGTAGTCTCCTAAACAATTCGTTGTTACCTGATGCTGCAGCCCATGAGAGCGGAGTTCGTCCGTCCTCATCTTGTAAATTTACATCCACGTTGCGAGACTGGAGCAGTCTCTCAACTACGGTCATATTTCCTTTTGCTGCAGCCCATGAAAGCGGAGTCCGTCCGCTATAATCTTGTAGATTGACATTTATGTCGCTTGATCCGAGTAGCTTCTCAACTACTGTGCCATCTTCTGATGCTGTAGCCCATGAAAGAGGAGTCCGTCCGTGGTGGTCTTGTGAGTTTACATTTACGTCACTGAACCTAAGCAGCCTCTCGACGAACTTGCTATCGCGTAATGCTGCGGCGCGTGAAAGAGGAGTGCGTCCGGAATCGTCTTTGACGTCGATTAGAATGTTCGGTGCTGTGAGCAGTAACTCGAACATTTTGAAATCTCCCTTTCTCACCATCTTTGAAACAGGCGTCCTTCCGTGTTTGTCCCTTATGTTGACGTCAATCTCCGCTGTCTTCAGTAACAGTACTATCATAGCCTTATTTCTTCTCTTGAGTCCTGCCAATAGCGGTGATAGCCCATCCTTATTCTGGAAGTTCACGTTGACCACACCTGTATTTAGCAGTAATTCAACCACTGAAAGATCTTCTGCCAGTACTGCGCTCAATAGCGGCGTGTCCCCAAGCTGATCCAATGAGTTCTTTTCATACGAGGCCAGTTCCCGTGCTAGCTGCATACGTACGTACCTTACGCTTTCATTCCTTTCTGCTGCTAGGTAAAAAAACGGAGTTCGCCCATATTTATCTCCTATGTTAGGGTTGGCTTTGCCCAATTGTAGCAGCAGTGTGATAATGTCTATCATCTCATCTAATCTACCACTATGGTCCTCAACCTCAGCTGACACCAACGCTGCTTTTGTCGCCCACAATAGGAGCGTCTGCCCGCTTTCTTGCTTTATATCAACATCAATCCCATTCACTCGCACAAGTAGCTGTACAATCGCCTTGTTGCATGAATGTACTGCTATAGATAACGGCCATGCCCAGTTTTTGTTCTTTGCATTGACGTCAATACCATGTGTTTTGGACAGTAGTCGAACTATTTCCACATGACCTGCTCTTGCTGCGACGTATAATGGTGTTGAGAAATCGCTGTTTGCTAGGTTGACCTTCGCTTTACTTGTTTCGAGTAAATGCCTAATCACAGTTGTGTGTCCTCTCGATGCTGCCCACCACGTTGGCGTCCGCTCATGTATGTCTTGAGGATTGATATCAATGCCGGATTGATTTAGTAACATCTGAACAATGTTTTCTTTTCCATCACGCGCAGCGTGAGTCAAAGCTGTCTGCTTATTGTGGTCCGCTTCATTCATTTCGACATTTCCTCTTGTCAGAAACATCCATACATCGTCCTCAGTCCCTTTTTGGACTACCTCAAGCAACGACTTGAAACTTCCAGCCTGTAACTCTTCCCGTGGTAGCTGTCCAGATGCGACTGTAATAGATGCAGTGCCTCTGAGCTCTCCATAGAGCTGGCCTTTCCGTTTCGATTTCACACGCGATTTTTGTATGCATAATCGTCTGACCGGATACCGTGATGACATGAAATCCTCGAAATCCGTCTGCGAAAATTCCTCAGTCTTGACTCTCCTTAAATGTCTCATGGTAAGGCTCATATCCCTCAGAAAGATGGTAATCCTCTCATCTCCACTTCCCTGTTCGAGGCAATCGAGCTTTGCACAGCCAAGCTTGTCGTGACCAATACCCATGAATCGGATGTTGAGATGAACACCCTTGCCGCTCAATATGACTGGGTCATAGGATCTATCGAGAGTAGTGCACTGGACGATGTTTCCGGATTTGCGAAACGAGGCTGGCGAAGTAGCTAGGCAACCACCACGATCATCGGCTGATCGCCACGCGAAAATACTATGATCATCCGATATCTTCAAGATTTCCTCTTGGAGCCTGATGAAAGCATTTTCTCCTTCTCCATATATCAAAGGCATGTTGATGTTGAATATGCCTAACAGACAATAAGCTATGTCTTCTATCCTCGTTGTTTTTCTTTCTGCGGCCCATGACATTCTTTGTGCAACGCTGAAAGTTTCGACAGGTTCTGCTTGCAAGAGCACACTGACAGGAATCCGAGTACGTTCGGATATTTCCTCTTGCAGGTCTGCTCTAGTCCCCAGAAGAGACCAGTTCTTGTCGAAGAATACCATCTCCTTTGGGGCCAACAATTCCTGGAGCGTCCAGCCTCTGGTGAACCATTTGCTTATTGGGAAGTAATCCTTGGAGCCTATATCAGCTAGATACGCATAGCATACGTCCGCTGACTGATACCAGGAATACATTGAGTTTATCGCTTCCGAAAGTTCCGCGCTGCTTGTTTTGTCGATGCAACATGTGTCGACCCAAAAGTATTGAAAGCCATCATGATCGGCTTGCCGTCCGCATAGGATAAGTTTACGGTAACCGAACTTCTCTTTACCCTTCCCATCAAGCAGATCTTGGTAAGTTACTTCTTCATTGGAGGGGCCCCAAGTGTGCGAAAGAATCGCGTAAGGTGGGAGATTATCAGGCAACAGCTCGACAAGGCTGAGCCTGTCGCTACCATTGATCTGCAGAAATCGCATGAAGATATGTTCATACGGCGATTCAAGAATCAAAATAATGCGAAAGCAGTATTTTCAAGGTAAGTCGCTGAAAAGACTGGCGGTTGGAAGATAGAGTGTTGGTGACGAACGTCGATACCTAAGTAAGACTGACTGCCAAGATGTTCGCTACGTAAGTCACGGGGCAGCATATTCAGCCTGACCAGCCTAGCCAGAATTGTAGAGCTCTGCAGGTGCCGCAAGACCAGATGATATTCTATGAAGTGTTAGACTAGAACCTAGTGTGCTTTTCCAGCTTCATATTCCAATCTCAGCCTTTGAGAACAAGGCAAGGCTGAAACCGTTATGATCGACAGAAATACGGAAGTGCAACCTATACTCAAGCAGACATTGATGTACTTCAATCAAATCTTTTGTTTCATTTTCCTGGCAAAGGGAAGTAAAATCAGATAGCAAGTTTACATATATGGGAACCAAGTTCAACCAGCTGATGTTTGACAGCACTATATGTAGCCTTACGGATTAATAGTGCCTGTTTAGATTTTCTTGTTAGTTCTCGGAGCTGATATCATATTTTACTTCGACACATACTGCAGATGGTTTTGAAAGGTATGATCCTTTCTCACACCAGTAAATCGAATATTAGTGACATCAGTACTTCAATACTCATGCTAACTGAATTCATAGATAGATTCGTGCATTTGGTGTTAATTGGTTTGTGGGAGCTGGAACGAGATGTTCACCGTTCCACGACAAGTTACACCATTCCTCAGCCTCTCTTCGTATCTCATGTCCAGTTCTTCTTCTCTCTTCGAACGGTGTTCTCGTAAAGAATAGTTCTATAAGTGTTGTCAACGTCTGAGAGTTCACCCAATGGTTTGTAAAGTCTTCAAATAGCATCATGTCAAACGGTGCATTCATGTTTTCTTGTATGAAGCAGTTGTGTTTCAGTTAAACTGGCTGAATCTGAGAACAACCCTCCAAGCTTCCGCGCACCTGCAAAATCCCCCCAATGACCAGTCTTTCCCGAATACCGTGGGGCTGCAAGCCCTCGAAAAGGAAGTTGTTGATATTCGCACCAACCGGCCTCTTCTGCAAGCCCCAGTGTGTCTCACCCAGAGTAGTAGGAGCCTTTCCAGATATGTTGTTAGCCAACAAGGGTGTCACAATCTTCAACCCATCTTTTCCGGTTGAATAAGCAACTTGCATCTGGTTGTCGTCAAAGTCAAGGTACAGCCCAAAGTTGTGCCAGATGTCTGAGGTGAAGGGCGCCATGAAGTATGTTTGGACTTTCTTGGCCCATTTCCAGCCTTGAAGATAGATGACGCTGCCGGTCTTCAACATCGACTCTGTGACATCGGGGTGCATGAATCCAATATTCTCGCCATATGCTGCCAGGTCGTCACCTCCACCTGCTCCATTTGGTCCGCGAAGAGTTTCCTGCATGGGTAATCCGACCTTGAGGGACCAGAAATCTGCCTGGAAGTCCTGGGCTTCATGGAATGCAAGAAGATATTCATGTGAGAGATTAAGAGCATATGGTGAAGTTCGCATTGAGAAAAGCCAGGTGACCTTACCAGAGACAGTCTGGTTTTTTCCATTAACGAGTAGCTCAGCTCGACGGAGTGCGGTCTCACGGCCTTCGGAGGACGATGCGAAGATGGACCGGTCACTATAGACACATTGTCAAACTGTAGTCAGGATGGTATGTGGTGAGGGGATTTACGTTATCTCAACCTCGATGGGTTTTGTTCCAGCTACTCGATCAAACATCGATGGCTCCACGTTGGGAAACGATATCACTTCCTTCCATGTCTGGTCTGAGGGTGTTGGACATGTTAGTGGGCACAGACCATAATAGCTCAGGTGTCTTACTCTGCCCTAGAACATATTTGGGATTGAAAGGACTTTTCACGGTTTCGAATGTGTCGCCGGTAAAATTCTGGGGAATTCGACCGTCAAAAGTCAAGGGGCAGCTTAAGGCATCGAGCGAAAGGGACAAGGCATAAGGAAGCCCAGTCAGAAGCTGTGCGAAGGAGGACTGGATCAGCCTCATCTCAGAAACATATACTCGTCTTCAAAGGCGAGCCACCACAAAACACAATAGGAATTTTAGAATGCGATAAATTTCATATGCTTCCATGTTGTTAAATATGCATGAGAGTCGGACCTATTATGGTTTTGTTGAGCTTGCATCCCTTGAAGTGACGAGAATGATGCGGGGATTCTAATTTCCATTTCGGTCCGACGGCTCGCTCGCCAGATTGGTCCTGATTTGCCGATGTTTCATGGAGCAATGCGTGCACAAAGAATTCCTGTATGGACTGACGTTGCGGCTAGTGAAGATGCACTTAATCTTGCACAATGCGGGAGGACTTGTTGCTTGCTCGAGGAAGATGCGCAACAAGTCCTGCTCACAACAGTCCAACGCATCTACTAAGGACGTACACATTCGACATGTTCTACACCCTGCGCTTTGTTTGCCAGTTTCGTCGACAAGCTTATTAAATATGCACTTCCCCGCCCCGCATTCCGGCAGCGCTACTAGCGTGAGGATCAAGCCGTCAATAATCGTCATAGCATTGATCAGATCCGGCGGCGTGTTCTAGTGGAAGAAAAATACTACTGTCCGTGCTCACCCAATGCAACAATCAGCCAATGCAACACTATCTGCCCCACCCAAAATATTAACCCACCATTTTTAATACGTAATATCTCCACCACTATAACAGCTCTTATAAAAGCGATTATAGTAATTAATTCGTAAGGTCTAGAAGGTTAACTTTTATACTACGTAGCTATAAAAAAGTTTAGTATTAAGGTTTTAATATTAACGCGTTAGTACTAAAATAAAACGACGTCGCGTACGGTAACTACTAAAAAACGCTAACTACTTACTCTACTATAAGAATCTAAGCTAGTAAAATATATAG